CTACTGGTCAATATTGTACAGAGTTATTTTCTATTTTATGGTGCGATGTGGTCTGTTTGATTAGCATATAAACAGAGTGTGTTTGAAATATAATGATTCATATCTCAGAGGCTAAGACTTGCGTTCTGGACTAAACTGGCTGGGCTAGACAGGGGAGCATAGCCAATCGGGACTCTAGGTCGTCCTTACGTGTTTTCCGTGTCACTGAATCGACCAATAATACGCTGCTTCACTCTAATCTGCAGTCTCACCCGTTACAACAAAAAGGCCGTACGCGACGGGCTTCAAGCAGTTTTCCGCTGGGCTCTGCGGTCACGCTCCCAGGCCGTTAAGGCCGACATTAATCCAACTTCCTTTTCAGGTTCCTCAAGAAATACCCTTCCACGGTGTGGGCAGCTGGGAAGTGACATTAGCCCTCATACCCGTAACAGCACACGAGACCAAGTTGGTCACATTCAAATCCTTCCTACACCTCCTAATACCTCTCTTATCTCCATGACTAACTCTCCTCACGTCTCTTTATCATCTCGCACCGCTAGGGCAAAAGATTCGAGCACGTGGAACGCTATTCCTGGTCTCCTGAAACCACGCTCTAAACTACATGTAGGAGCTTTTAACGTACAAACACTTTGCCAAATATGACAGCAGGCTTCCTTAGCTAGGACTTTAGAATCCCGTGCCATCGATGTGTGCAACGTCTCCGAAACGCGCATACAGGATCCGAGTAGCGTCATTCATTTGACCTCACCATGCCAAAATAAAGAACCGATCCGAAAAGATAGGGACACTCGTCGTTGCCTCTTCGTCGTCTCTGCCTATTCTCGCACTGACTGCAGCTCAGATGATGTAAAAGATGAGTTTTACAGAAAGATCTCCGACCTTCTCCGAAAAGCTAGGCGCTCAGGTGTAGTAATAATGGCCGGTGACTTGAATGCTCAAGTAGGTAAACTAAGCGGTAGGCAAAGACATCTGGGTGGATCTGATAGCATCGTGGCTCAAAGAACAGATAATGGTGAGCGTCTGTTGCAGCTATGTTCAGATAACCGCCTGTTCCTTGCAAATACTAACTTTAAGCATAAGGAAAAACATCTTTTAACACGGCGACCCCCTAATTCGTCCCAACGTTGGACCCAAATAGATCACATTGCTATCAGCCACCGATGAAGGGGCTCGATAGAAGACTGTCGCTCATTCTGGAGCACACGCTTAGACTCAGATCATGCTTTAGTGAGAGCGCGTATCTGTCTGCGTCTTACTGGACGTCGGAAAGACGCTCCAAGGAAACCTCTTAGGGTCCTACTTAATGATAGTCAAGCTAAGAGTATATTTCAGGAACAACTAGGAAAACAGTTAGGCAGCCATGAATGTGATGCCCACCCCGAGGCAGCATGGAATGATATCCGAAAAGCTGTGGAAACAGCAGTGATATCTGCTAGTAAGGTAAACCACAAGGTTAGGGAAAAACACTGGATCTCAGCAGCATATACTGCACTGATGGATGCTCGAAAACTCATTTGATCTGGCTCTGAACATAATGAATAGCGGAGTCAGCTTAAGTACAAGCTTACAAGAAGCCGACGCAATGATTATGAACAGTGGTGGGTAGCGAAAGATGGAAAAGGCAGCGGCAATAGGTAATAGCAGACAATTGTTCGGACTTGTTAAGGAAACCGGTATTAGGGACTCGACTGTTAGCGAAACAATCTCAGAGAAAAATGGACATTTTATACATTCTCAATCCAGGAGATTGGATCAATGGGCAGAACACTTTAGGGATCAGTTCAACTGGCCTTCAGCCACACTTCGGTTTCCCACGATCTCTAGTCAACCTGAATGGCAAGTTAATGTAAGTCCTCCGTCTCTTTACGAAGTTGAAAAACCATAGGAAATCTGAAGCGAGGGAGAGCAGCAGGCCCTGACAGGTTTACTCCTGAGATTTTTGAGGATGGTGGTTCAGTATTAGCAGTGAGATTAACTGAGGTCTTAGGTAGAATTTGGGAACTGGACGTAATCCCATCTGACTGGTCTCAATCACTGATTGTGCCAGATTTAAAGATAGGACAAAAGTCCTCTTGTGACAATCACAGAGGAATCAGTTTGACTAATATAGTGTCTAAAATATTAGCTTCAATAATACTTCGACGCCTAAATAAAGCTCGTGAAGAGCAGACTACAGAAAATCAGGCTGGTTTTCGACCTGGACGTGGTTGTATAGACCAGGTATTCACACTACGTCAGGTCCTAGAACATAGACACACATTCAGACGCCCCACAATGGTAGTATTTCTCGACCTTAAAGCAGCAGTTGACTCTGTCGATCGTAACGTTCTATGGCAGTGTTTATCACTGAAAGGAGTACCAAAGAAGTTAATTAACCTTATAAAGGCTCTCCGCTCGAACACAACTGGTAGATTGAGAGCTTATGGGGAACTGTCATCAGAATTGATTACCTCAAATGGTGTTCGTCAGGGCTGTCCACTCTCTCCATTCTTGTTAAACTTTGTCGTCGACGTTCTTTTAGAGATAACACTTTCCTCGTCTAAATTTCCACGGGTTCAACTTCTACCGGGAGGTTCACTTGTTGACTTAGAATATGCTGATGACATAGTTTTATTTGGTGAACACGCTGACAAAATGCAGAGTCTTCTGACTACTCTAAGCAACAAAGCAAGCATGTTCGGCATGCGATTCTCTCCCTCGAAATGCAAAATGTTACTTCAGGATTGGGTTACATCGACACCCGAACTAGTGATAGGGAGTGAAGTAGTTGAGTGTGTCGACCGCTTCACTTATCTTGGAAGTCTCATCAGCCCTTGTGGTCTGATGTGTGACGAAATCCCAGTACGGATACAGAAGACTCGATTAGCTTTTGCCAACTTGCGTCATTTATGGCGTAGGCGAGATATCCGTCTATCAACCAAAGGACGTGTTTACTGTGCAGCAGTTCGTTCCGTCCTACTTTACGGCAGTGAACCATGGCCGGTAGGAGTAGAGGATATTCGTAGGTTACTAGTATTTGATCATAGGTGTCTTCGAACACATTGCTCGTATATCATGGGACCATCGAGTAAGTAACACAGTTGTTAGGAAACGGGTACTTGGTAAGGATGGCAAATCAATTGATGAAGTAGTGAAACTTCATCAGTTGAGATGGCTGGGACTCGTGTTACGTATGCCCAACCACCGACTGCCTCGACGTGCTATGTTTTATGGTATAGGAGTAGATTGGAAGAAAGCTAGGGTCGGCCAGACCAAAACATGGCACAAGTCCATGAAGTCACTGACAAGTGAACTGAGTCATGTTGGTAGGTGTAGACTACCTGGTTGTGGACCGCCAGATGATAGCAACCGATGGTTAGAGACCTTGAATGAAATGGCTCAAAATCGTTTGCAATGGCGCAGGTGCATCCACTCTTTGTGTTCTCCCAAATTCTAATCTTCTGAATTCTTCATGTCCCTTTTTTCCTCTTTCCAAATTTATTTCACTGGATTATACTCTTTAAATAAGATCTCCAAACCCTAATCTTCCCGATTACTGCTTATACTCTTATTACCTCTACCACTACGGGATTCGAATCGACAACTGCATCTCTGTGCTAATGTGATGTGGCAACTCGAGCTGATGTATGTACGTAAGAAGTTTTACGTTGTTACTGACTGACTGAAAGTCTCTAACCGTTGGTTACGGTAATCACGCAGACTACGACAAAGTAGTTTGAACCGATGAATATGGTTCTGTCCAACAGTCGATGACTTCATGGACTGATAAAATATCTTGGTCTTGCCGCCCCTAACTTTCTTCCAGCGTGCTCCTACACCAGACAACATCATCCATTGAGGTACGCGGTGGACAGGGATACGTAACAGATGCTACAAAAACCTTAGCTGATGAAGATTCACTACCTCATAAATTGATTTTCCATACTTACCTAATACCCTATTTCTAACAAACAGCCTCACACCTTTAACAGCACTCGAAATCCCCAAATGATTTGAATTCAAAGACAAGACTACTAACCAGAGGAGTAGGTTTATTATATAACACAATGACGCGTATATACAAACTACAAAATTAAACTAAACTTTAAAAAATGTCAAAGGTCATTGGAGACGATTAGTTTACAGGTTACTACTCACGTACCTGACTTTAAGACATAATTCTTGGGGATCGTAAAAGTTATTTCAATAAAATGAAGCAGATATGAAAAGTATGAATAACAACTGCAAGGAGTTGGAAAGGATTGCCCAGGACAGGGTTGGATGGAGAATGCTGGTGAGCGGCCTATGCTCCTTCACGAGGAGTAACAGGCGTAAGTAAGTAAGTAAGCGTAATTAGTCATTCATTTATATTCATTCTTATTCCAGATTATTATCAATCAAATAGAAATTTAGAAAAATGAAAAGGGTGTTTTACAAAACATGATGCACATTATTTTTCTTAAGTAATCTCTTAAGGGTGATTAAAAAATCAACATAAAAAATATGAAGAGGTATATTATAATATAAAAATTCAAGGTACTAGTAAACCCCAATAGCTTTCAAGAAAACGCTAAACTAAGAACATCTAAATTTCACTACAATGATAGTTTTTTTAATAGGAAGCAAGGCGTTACATTTACAAGCGACTTGAACATTTTACAAGGTGTGAAACATGAATACATTGGATCTCAAATAATGATTAATGTAATCTTTTCCCTCATGTATACCTTAATAGCAGTAATAAATAGCTAAAATATATTTGTCACATATATTTGCACATATTATATTCTAAATCGTGCATATGGTATGTAAGCAAACGATAACAATGTGCTAAGCCTTCGGAGGTAGAATGGAAGTCAAGTCAGAAACCAGATAGTCGGAATTTAAACATTCAACTATTAAGCTACAATCCCAGAATAATGTATATGACTGTCTAGTGAAATAACCGAGTAATCAACTTACAATATAAACAGATTACGAAAATATATGAAGAATATCGATTACATTTTTTGTAATTTTACCTGAGCAACATTTGTACGTCTAGTTGAAACGTGTCGGGTAGACGAGATCGATTGAGGATCTTCAGAAGAATGCTCTGTGTCTTCAGGTACGTTACTCAAACCTAAAAATAAACGACGATTTATTAATTTGGAATTTGTAACACTGGTTTGTAATCTGAAGTAAAGTAAACTTATGAGGTATCACGAACAACCTAAAAAGAAAACTGACTGGCTAAATCAGTCAGTCAGCTACAGCGTAGGACCAGGCACATATATGCATCGGTCCAAGTTGCCATACCTCAACCTCATTAACACAACAAGATGAACACCGGATTTATAAAAGTAGGTAATTCAGAGGTGGTAATATATAAAGAAAGATTGCATATAAGGACATAGTACAGGAAGAAAGAATTAGTTCACACAAAGAAAGATATGAAGCGATTTTAATCTCTTAGTTTAAGGGAAGATAAAGATTGTATACACCAACGCCAGTGTGATCGATTCTGAGTAATGTCACCAACAGTCTCCAACCATTGGTTACGATAGTCATGCGGACCCCAACCAAGTAGTCTGCATCTACCAACATGGCTCAGACTAGAAGTTAGTGACTTCAAGCACTGATGCCAAGTTTCGGTTTGGCCGCCCCTAACTTTCTTCCAACCACCTCCAACACCGGTTAGCATTGCGCGTCGTGGTAATCGGCGTTCAGGCATACGTAACACGTGGCCCAACCATCTCAGTCGATGAAGATTCACAACCTCATCAACTGATTTACCACCATTCCCTCCGTCTAACCTCACTATTACTTACTGGCGAAATAAATAACATTTAAGTGTAAACCTGGGATGTGTTTTCTAGTGAGGTTGAGAATTATTGATCAATGGGAAATTTAAAAACAGCTAAGTATTAATTATGATTGTTTTACTTTGTATTTGCATATAACCTCATGAAAAGATAACTATTTTTGCAAGCAAACTTTCTATAGAGTAATTCTTTTTTAGTGATCCAAGCATAAATGTTTGTTGGTCAAAGGTATCACAATTCACATCAATAAAGAGGAAATCGACAGGAGTGTAATACTATCAACTATAGGGTTAAAGTAACAGGAGAGCTATGGATCACACAGAACAAACGTACTGTAAGCAAACATTAAGCATACTCGTGAACAGTTTAAATATCTCTTCAGCAACAATGACATATAACTGTGATGAGTCAAAATAAATTATAAACTCTTTTGTGAACTATATATTTACAAACGCTTAAACACTAAGTAATAATTTGTCTACAATCTGAAATTGGCATCAATGATTTCATCTCCGTTCGTCATTTGTATTATAATAGAAAGGATAATTTGAGATTGACACTGTGCTTAGGTTCAGATATATGCTGCGAAATCGGTTTAACTGTAAGCACCATATACTGGTAATTACTAACACATGATTATGAATGTTCTTGACAGCCACATAATTATGTTATCTAGATGAAAATTTCGACATGTGTACTTATGAGTATTCAAAATAGCGGGCGTTTGTGGTTAAACTATTGGGTGTGAAATATCCGAACGAGTTTCTGGTGATAGTTTTGGTAACCAAAACAGATACATATTTGAACCAAATCTTATGTTTTTTATTACTGACTGAATGATATCTTCAAAAGTATCACATTCAACCTATGACAGGGTGAAGTAGACAGTGTTTCAACATGTCAGTCAACTACAACATAGGACCAGGCACACATATGCTTTCGGGCACTAGAATCGTTGGCCGTGGTGACACTTGAGGAGGAAGTCAAAAGAGGAAGTTTAGAGTTGAAAGTGGAGGTAGGAGAAATAATAGCAATTGAAGAGGGAGATCGATTATGAATACAGTGATCCTGAGTGCTGCTAGAGGTATGAGGGCGGTTATCAACATGTATAGTAACATCGGACAAAAGCCATACGTAAACCATACCTCCAAGTAGTTCAAAAATCCTTCAAGTGAACATATTCATATGGTTACTTGTCCCGATGGATTATTACTAGATTAGTAGTGAACAGTAATCGATTAAAATACAAAAGATTATTGACGTCTTTGTTGCCACGATGTAAAGCGATCTACTTGTTTAATACCATGATTCACTCGCAGGCACGCAACCAAACTCTTTTGAGCTACAAAACAGATGTTCGACTAAAAAGTGCCACAAAGTCTTACTTTTATTTCAAAGAAAAGGAAATAATCAGCTGTTACTAAGAAAACAGACTTTAATTGTGTACCGGCATTCAGCCAACTTAGGGTATATGAAATCTAGAGTGTTAAATGTATACCAGAAAACTGTTGGACAAATCCAACAATGGAATTATAAATACTTGATTAAGGGTAAAACAAGTTAGTCACCAAAGGAATAAATTACTCAACTAAATACACGGTTCAAGATAACAAAACATGAAAAAAGATTGACTAAAATACATTGGATAATTTCACCACGTTTCAAATACTTAGAATATCCGGAAATGAAATGTAATGGTTAGGTGTTCTACTGATATATCGTGTGCCAAAATGACAAAACTCATAAAATTATTAGACGGCAACATTCACAGTATATGAATAAAACAAAAAAATTGCACAGCACACCTTTAGAACCTGGTCTCCAATGTCGCCCTAGTGACCCTGTTGATCCCATTTGAAGCCAGTTAAGTGCAAATGGATCATCCTCTTGAGTTGTTCTTTCTAAAAATTTAGACCATGTGATTAAAACATGAAAGTTAGATTAAACAAACTACTACAAAGAAAAAAAGTTAGTAATGTTATGTTGACCCAAAAAGATAATTGGATTAAGTGATGACTGATACCAAGATTATAAGCAGGATATAAAAAGATTGATAAAACACCCATGTTCGTGTGTAACTAAAATATACGTTGAAACGAGAAATCAGATATAGGAGTAGAAAAAGTCAATACCAACCTCGTAAATGACTAACGAAGTCGGGATCATCATAATCGAATACCTCAGTGGTCCTCAGCTTCTGTCGTCTCACTATAGGTCCACGATTAAGTTCAAACATGCTTGAGCTTCGTTTACCAAGACGATCAGCTAGAAAATCTTGTCCCTAGAGAAAAGGAGTGATATAAAAATAATGTTCCATATAAAACATGTGAATTTCGAAATGTCCATAAAAACTAACAGTAACAATAATATTTATACTTTAAGTCTATAACAGGACAGCATATGACGTATTCGAAAATGTGGGTAGATTTATAATCAACATAGCACTAGTTATAGTAAAATAAAACTTACGAACTTAATTTTATCAAAAAACAATCATCATAGAAACCTGAGTACTGTCGTGCCTCATTATTTAAACCTTCAATTCATGCACAGAAATTAACTTCCAGTGTAACAGTTTCATTTCGAATTTCTACAATCTTAACGGTCAGCAATGCACTTAGTGCTTGAAAGAACACATGTGGTATAATAAACAAAACTTAGTTTTCAAAATGAGACATAAAACATTAATTCGTATGTTTCTGAAAATGTAGGTTTGCATCCTTAGAAGTTTTGACATTCTGTATGTCTTTAGTGCCAACACTCATCTACGTAATGGCTAATGAAAGTAGAATAATGTTCCACGTGGCCTAAATTCATTCACATATACTGATTTATCCCTCTTACTGCGAACCATACAATCAATCCTTTTAGTAGTTGCCGGAGAAGCAAATGTCAGTCTCGTGTGCTGTTACGGGTATGAGGGCTGGTGTCACTTCTTGGCTGCCCACACCGTGGAAGGGTATTTCTTGAGGAACCTGTAAAGGAAATTGGATTAATAACGGCCTGGAAGCGTGACCGCAGAGCCCAGGGGACAACTGGTTGAGGCCGGTCGCGCACGACCATTTTGTGGGAGGTTTTCAATGTGTTAGCTCCGTTCTTCGAAGGGATTTACCACCAGAGACGGAAATCCGTGAGGTAAGGTGAGGTATGACGTTTTTAGGGTCGAGCTTTTCTAACCCCTTCCTTCCTTATGAGAAGACAGCATCGCTGTAGATGCTGTTTGTCCGAGGGAGACACCTTACTGCAGCCACACCCCTCTACAGTCAGCAGTACGACTCCACCCTCAGACCTTGAGTTGCTGCTTTTAATCTTACCGTTCTCCAATCGACCTGCCTGGCATAGTAGTACCTACAGGAACATATGTTCCAGCCAATATAGCTCGGTTGGGTCATCACGATAGGCAAGCCCGACCACCGCGTCAAGGTAGCAGCTACGGTCGAGTAGGATTGATTTTACTTATTTTCATAACCACACTGCAAATAGGAAACATTTATATATCGCAACATTCAATTCTATTGAATATTCATTGATTTGTTTTCTTCATAACTATCTCGCACGAGTACAACATAAGCTGTACTATTTACTTATTCATTCAAACACAGAGGTGTCAGTAATTAGTGTAAATAAATTTTTGACGAAGACTCATCTTTGGTTGAAATCTGATAATTCGTTTGTAAATGTCAAAGGTTCAAAAATATCTAAAATATGAGTCCGTTTGATTGACAATTGTCATCTCTTTTGTTAAACGTTTTCTAGATTTTTATATCATTCTATTAGCCATATATTTTTTTAGAAATTCACTTGATAATGTACTTGGTATCGACAATAAAATGTTTTAAATATCAACATTGTTTGAGACTGTATTTCAGAATACAAGTCATCTTACAATATTCAAACCAGAAAAAAAATTTATGTCTAGAACTAGTACTGAGATATCAAAGCATAAATACGCATACGACTAAGATTTAATACACTGACTTCATCTAAATGTAAGTTGTAAAATGAGTCCTGCCGTAGGAGTAGAGTAATTTGGTTTAAGAAAGAAATATGTACACATATCCATAGATAAATGTAATAAATAAGCTGATTAGGATACGAACCTTTGTCAGTCAACGTAGTTGATAAACAAGTTTTGAATATTTGACCATCAACTACAACAACGTACTCTATACTAGCAAAGTAGTGGGACAGAAAAACTGAAATGAACAAATTAAGATGAGGGCTTGTACCAGGTCAGTTAGTTAGTCATACTCAACGTAGAACCAGATACATGTATACATCGGTCCAGGTTGCAGCATCACATTAGCACAGAGATAAGATTATTGAAACAAATCTGTGCAGCAGCAACAACATTAGTAGTAGCAGCACTAGTAGAGATTATTTACACAAAGAGGAAAAAAGGTATAAAAGGATTTCGGGACTCAGGTTTTAGAGGAAAATAAAGTGAATGCACCGCCACCATTGTAAAAGATTTTAAGCCGTGTCACTCAGAACCTCTAGCCATTGGTTACGATAAACGCCCGGACATTAATTAGGTAATCTACACCTATCAGCATGGCTCAGTCCAATACCAAACATTACCTGTCGTGGTACGCGGTAGGTTATATGAAACACATGTCAGCCACAGCTGGTAAAATTCCAGTACCCCAACAAATTATTCCCCATATTTACTTAGTACTGTGTCAAACAACAACACTTCTTACTCGATGGTTCCGAAATAAAAGAACGAAGCTCCGAATATACCAATGATGAATTACTAGTAACCTACAAATATGCTCTATTCTAAATGGTCATGTTTCATGGGACGGAGCGAACTGCTGCGCAGTAAACTCGTCCTCTGGCTGGCAGACAGATATATCGCCTGTCACAAGTGATGCAAGTTAACAAAAGACAATCGAGGCTTCTAAATCAGTTCAGAGATTCCATCAGACATCAGTCTATCGGAACTGACTAAACTCCAAATATAAGTAGGGCAGTTACCCGTGGAGTCACTGACTACTGATTTTAGTTATTTAGTGGCTCATACTACTAGATCGATATGTATGAGATAATTTATTTAGTGGTTGTAGACTGTGTGACATGCCCTATATACATTTCAGCTACACATGCGCATTTTGAGCAAACGACTTATATCGCAATATTGTCATGTTTTACTCCCTCCTTCTACATTACATTATTGCCACATAATCACTCCTTTATTCGTAAACTCATGTCCGGTGTGCTGATATAAGCTATGAAAGCTCAGGGCTATACAAATATAAGTATAAACTGCACTACTCTTAGAACCACAATATACAAACTTTGTCGGTGAGACTATGATTTATGGAGTACCTTTAAGTGGCACTAATATGAACTTTAAAAAATTTAACTCCTTAATAAAGTCGAAAAGCGTCAAAAATTAGTGTGAGGAATCAGAATCCGAATTTACAGTTAGAAGTTCAGATTAGAAATTAGAGCAAGGGTTTTCATCGCCAAATAATATCAACTAGACTGCTAAAATGCTGCTTAGCCATATGGATGGACCAATTTCCAGCAAAATCCAAGACACCATAATAGATGTTATTGGTTTGTCCATAAATTATAGTGTCGTCACTTGGTCAGTTTACTTGATGGTAATACGCGAGATTCAGACCAGTATGACTAAAGTCCATCAAGATGGCCTATTTCACTTACTAAGAGACAAATATGACTAATTTGTCGGGCGATTTGTATTGACGGTTTTGTTACATTAGATTACAATAGGAGTTTGACAGTATAAAGTCGCAGTGGTCTCGCAGACAAACTTTTCATTACCGCTGAACATATGATTGCCAGCATATAAACTAACACCTAAAACGACCAAAGTATTTTGCACTAAAAATAATATAAATTCAAATACACTATACGATGCTCGGTACATGAAAATCTACAATCCAATTAGGAGTAAAAAATTATGAGAATATATAAAAAACAGCCCAGGAACAAACCAACAGTGCACCGGAAAGAACAGCCTTCGCAGCATAATTTAGTCCTTTGGCACCAAACTCCACGACTTTCGAATATCCTTTTTCTTTTGCTCTGTTTATGGCCTCGTCAATTTCCTGAAAAAGTGAGTACATTTTGAAGAACATACGGTTTCTCTCTTCGTAAGCTCTGGGTGGATTACTTTTCGGTATATAAAACTATACCCAGAAGTGGCTGGTGTGACAAGCCATATGACGAATAGAGTCTTTGCTTCGTAATAAAAAGGCAGCCTAGAAATAACCAATACTTAGGAAAAATATACCACTGGAGTAAAATATCTGTCACTAGCTCCAAAGTTATATACATGCTGAACACTACCCAGTACATGCCAAGTGTCACCTATAAAGTTAATAAAAGTTTGGAAAGAAATAAGACTTTCATACCACTTCCTGATAATCTTTCCTTTTAATCGCTTTATAAGTTCTATAAGAGGGGTGCATAACTCCGAAAACAGTTCTATATATGAGGGAGTGACATGGAGAGCTTACATAATGAGCCTGGCGACAAACGCTGGCAACATCAGTTAATTCTCTTGAACATAAATTTCAGGGCGATCCGTCTCTTACCCTAAACTAGACGACCTTACGTGTGGCGTTAAAGTCGTTTGTCGCGGCGTAACATAGAGATTTGAATCACAACGAGTTTAAAGTTTAAACAACGTTCAAATAAATAAGGATGGATTATAAAGTCCCCCGCCTGAACGATATTCAAAAACAATGACGCATGAGTAACGTTATATCGAGCCGAGATACATGCTTAATGTAGACACAACTTCTACTCCTTAAGAGTTGTCAAAAGCTGGAATTCGCTGCCGGCAGAGCTAGTCCAAGCGACTTCTCAGGAGTCCTTCAAGAGGCAACTTGACCTATTCTTAAGAACCAAGGACAGCATCACACTATGATTTACCAATTTCTTTTCCTCTTTTATTGTTAACATACCTAGGTTCCTGCCTGGAGGATTTCGTGATCCCCTGCTACTAGACACGGAAGCCTGTTAAGCGAAAGCTTCTTCTATTCCGTCCACAACCATTTGAACCATTTGAATTGATAGGAAAGTGTAGTCTCTGAACACAGTTTTTTCGTTCTGTATATTGACCCTAGCGAACAGAGTAGTATAAAGATCATTCGATGTTCCTCCTGATAGTGTGCACTTTAACGGATACCACTATCTTTTCGTGTGAGGTCATGTACTCAACGGAACGCATTTTAGATTCTGTTCTCTTTAGGTCTTCTGTTCTCAATACACAATTCTGAGCCTAGTATAAATATGTCTGTATTGAATATAACATATACTCAGAAAATGATTTTCCAGCACATCTCAAACTGTTCCTTTTTTTGGCATATTGAATGACATTACAGATCGGTAACGTAGATCATCTATCTGCAATAATTAGGTGCCTACTCGAGAACATAAGTGTGGTGCGCTGAAACAGAAACTCTGAATTCACACCTCGCGATCAGCACCTAACGCGGATTAACCATTCTTTGTGTCAAGACCCTAGGGCTACTTTGGAGGACGTTATTGCAGAAATAATTTGGTAAAAGTAGCTACAATGAAGAGAGTGCGACCACCACCAGAATGATGTCGACGACTTTTTAAAAATTCCTCTAAGTTTGGAAACAGATCAGAATAAACAGTTGTAATTTCATTAAGCTTACGAAATATCATAACCAAAATGGGTGACATTGGATGCACTATTACTGGAATCATTTTCGTAAAGATCAAACAGTTTCATTACACCTCATTATAACTAAAAATAAATCTTTCTTTGTAAAAATTTGACTTAAAATTCAAATGAAAAGATACCTGCAAGCTCACCAACAAAGATTATTCATCAAACGCCAAAAACATAGTTTGGTTAGCTATGTCAAGGGCTTTGCTTTAGTCCATGTAGACTACATCGTTTATGAGCAACTATAATACACATTCAACCGTCTCTAAAGCCTCACAATTAACTTTTCCGCAGGCTCTGGTTTTCGAAGAAGGCCATAAGGTTGTGCGTCATGATTCTCTATGGCGTTCATTACTACTCTCGTCAAGCTAGTCATTCTGTGCCGTGAAGATTAACGTCCACGTCCTACTTTGTAGTTTTTAATGACCATGGAAGCCATGCGCATTGCAAATCGTGTCACTGAACAAAGTGCACTACATGTGATCCCGTTGATATCTTGATTTATATAAAGCTCCTTTTCTGAAAAAAGTAAGACTATAAATTATTCTGCGGCATTACTTCCAATATTTTCTCTTTTTGGTAATAAGAGAATCGTAGATGGCGATACAACCGCCTTAAATATTGCCAACTGTCATTTCGTCCTAGACGTCAAATGAGATACGTTAGTCTAACTAATTTAACTGACAGTAATATATAATTACGTTGTTAGTGATAGTCGTTCCAAAGAACTTTTCACCAATACACAGTATGTAATTTTACTACGGGCTTTTAATCACCATCAAATGAATGCACATTAACATTAGCCTCTATAAAAACATTGTCACAGTTAGTTGTAAGATTTTCAATCTACCACGGAAGATGAGGCATAGCATTGTCATAAATGGTTTCTACTTAAAAACTCATATTTAAAGCCCCTGTATATAATGCTTACATGTAGTAATATTTCAGTGCTTCTAAAGATGTTTAAGATGCCACAGGTATTTGAACTTTGACAACGCTTTAACCAGCAACACTTAATATGAATCGTATCCACTAAGTGAAATCAAAAGACAGAAACGAGGAGGTCCGAAGATATATTTGATAGGCTATCAATACATCGAGGATCATCTGACTAGCGATTGCAGGGGATGTTGAGCACGGCGTTCCTACTCCTGATCTGGTGAGGATGCATGACCGAGCGCCTTCAGCTAAGTGAATCCGTTAGAATTAGTATGGTCAGCATCCGATATCGAAGACTTACAGAGCTATTTGTTTTTGGGATTTACCACTGCAATGTGCTTGGCCTGCTTGATACGTAATATAAATTTACCAAATTCCCTATTACATTAGTTTAAGTCCACTAATTATTCACCTAGAATAAACTTTTTAAAAGTTGATTCATACTTCCCTCATACACTTTTCGAGTAGGCACAAAACCCAAGACCAATAGTTTATCAAAATAAGAAAGGCCAAGTAAGTAAATATATGCTTCTTAGGCAAAAGAATCAGAAGAATATGAAAATATACATTATGTTTCATGGGATATATTCGAAAACTTTTGGTGACTTGCTCTGTTTCCGTTATTTTTCTTGTCATAAACAAATTGATGTTATAAAATATAGAATTTAAGTTAAATTACACTACCACAACTAATATTCTATCATGGTTGTACTGCATTGTACCATCACCTTAAATGTTTTGGGGACCTCAAGCTGGATGTTGTTATCAATGATCTTTGCCTCTCAAGTCGAAGTGAAGTCTTAGAAGTTTCCAAATATCTAAATATGAGACACTAATCCGTTTGTGAGTGGTTAACAACACTATTCCTCGGCTGTTTCACCGATTATCTCTCCTAAAATAATGGATATCAACAACAAGTTTGATCAACGCAGCTCTTTGACACATAGCATCAGTGATCCTAACAATTTGGTGTAAATAATTAAAATAAAAGAAGTAATGTCAAAAATTCACCTATGTCAATGTTGAATAAATTATCCTAATACAGTGTCTAAATTATGTATCCAGAACGTAACATCAGAGTACTTCTTTTTTCATACTTCTGATAAAAAAAATCTTTCTACAATAAAGGCTGTTATAGCAACTGAAAAAAATGAAACAGGTTTTCTGTTTTATAAACTTAATGAAACGTGAAGCATATACTGTAAGATCCAAACTAAAGTTTGGATTGATGAACAGCTGATTAGGTGGGTTAGATACGCGCCCTTGCCTGTTTGAAACCAAAACAAAGTAATTGGGTAAAATGACGGTTCTATAATTCATCATAAATTTAAATGTACATTATTACCCAAACAAATATGACCATTCAGCTATCCAACCATTGATTGTTCAATTGATCAAATCTAAATTACAATAAATAAGGAAGTTGACAAAGGATGCAAGAAAATTACCAATCACAACAAATAAATGTTATTCTATCCTGTCTGGATAGACCACGCACAGATTCGTTCAAAAGATAATATTTGGTCGATTTATAACACAGATTGTTTCCAATTGTGGAAGAGTGCCTCAATTCACAACCAAAAATGCACAATTCCAGTCAACACAGGTCAAGCAATCAAAAGGAGGAACAAACCAATATGGCTGCCGACAAGACTAAGTATAAAGTAAAACAACATAAGTGCAGTTGGGGAAGAAACATGGAGACTTAGTGAAGGCGTAATAAAAATAAAAACTACAATAAAATACAAATATTAACAATTCAAATGTAATCAAAATGTTAACAATGAACACCTAAGGGGATCAGTAGGGACAAAGTGCAAGTATATACATAGAGGGATTTTCATACACACATAAAACATTCAAAACGGATCTTACATATACTGCTATCAGCTCATCAGTGTAAGGCAGCATCCATATGAAGCGCCATCTTTTATAATAAACAGTTCTGTTACAATTCAACAATCGTTTATTTGTGCACCAACATTTTATTATCCTGCTTCTGACCGGTGTCGTTATATCACTCAAAAGAAGATGATTAAACTAGTTTAACGTAATAAATAGCACAACATTCCTGAAAATTTTATCTTACATGTTCATTGGCATGGCTCATGTGATTTATGGCTGTTAAGAATAAATTAGCTTAGTGTTGTTATACCACTTTTAGACGTTTATGAATCCTTCAAAAGGTATTCGAATCTATCCTAGAAACTGTCTATCCGAGTAGCACAAATAACGTAGTTTAACACACAGAAGCAATCACTAAGATCCATAAAAGGCCAAACCTAAGAGATCAAGAGCATTTATGTTTATAGCGACGAATAATTATGAAAGAGGTTACGCGAAATGATATATTCAATCCCGCCATATCATGAAAGCACTTAAGGAATATTGCAATTATAACTTCAAACATCAATAATATCACGTCAAATCAAATTCTGTTATATGGACAGTTACCATCATTCTTTGATGAAACAACATCATATCAAGTGACAGAAAGAGTTGCAGATATGATGTCAAATAAATTTCGACCACAACTTATCAACTTTAAACAGCAGTATTACATCGGCGTTGGAAACTATTCCCAGTCGGTATTATATGTTTCACAAGATTATGATATTGTATATTATAGTTGTTTTGATTAATCAATTTGTTACATCCACGACTGATACTTTTCGTGTACCAATTAATCAGTTTAGAGGCCAGTAAATAGGCACACTATGCGTGTTAGTTTACGGGTTTTCGCGCACATGTAACATATTGTCGTGGATTTTATGTTTCGTTATTTATCAGCTATTAACAGCCTTTTTTCCATCATACGTGACTTCTCGTAATCTTTGTGATTGGAAGATAGTATTTATTTCAATTTATAAGCAGTTTGAGGTATTTTGTGCTCACCACCTAAGTAAACATGCAGTTGGCGTAATATGGTTATTTTTTAATAATACAAGGTCAAACAAGTCAAATCACCATTTTTCTAGTGAAAAATAGAAAACAGATTGACTTTTCATGAAAATAAGCCGTGAAAAGCATTATATATGGTTCACCTCCTTGATTATGGTGACAGCAAACATAGATGTTCGCAGTCGTTTATAAGATGTTATCAGAAAGAAGTAAGCATTAAACTAACTATGGATATTATATAAATTGTTTGTATTTAGCCATAAAAGGTTATTTGCACTAAAGGTAGCATTGTTTGGTATTGAAGTGACATATTATTTTGTAACGTATCAGAGAAAAATTATGTGAGTAAGAATTGATGTTGATAGTCTTTTTTACCGGCTTTCTGAACGTATACAGGAACAGTGTATAACACCACATTAAATAGGCACAAAATCTTCATAAGTGAAACGATGGCTGTCTCTTCTGAGCATGGTGACAAAACCATGTCGTACTTAATATTGATTCATGATGTGTCTGTTATAGGGTTGACGAATAATTTTCTGTAAACGAAATGCACAGTCTCAGACGAAAATGTGAACAAACTTATGATGCATATTGTCGAGTAATATCTAAATGGTACTTACCAATGTTTCTTGCTAATACCAGATGTATGTACGAAATAATACAAGGGTTAGACACTGAATAAATTTCCAGTGCTTGTTACGACACAGACTTGAATAAAAAACAACTATTCATGAGTTAATTCATGAATTCCTACTGTATTACAGACTGACTCGTCCGAAGTAATTCATGCAGACAACGGGACGAAAAGTGAATGAGCAATGGAAGCAGAATCACAAGTTCCTTCTATTCATATCTCGTTTATGCCAATTTTTAAATAACATTGATTTGTGTGTTGTAAAGATTACCTATTAATTATTATTAAAGGAACTAGAAATCTCTAGTGATTAGCGCTGTCTGCAAATAAGAGACTTATAGGTACATTCTGTAACCTGCTATTTGATGTACTTATTGAATGTGATACTTATAACTGGGTCTAATTCTTTATTTCACAACTGATTTGTTTGTTTTTCAGAATTGTATGAATCCAATAAAGTCGTCAAAGGTTTGTGATGTTTACGCCGGTCTACAACTTACAGAATTTGTTAAAAAACGGTTTACATGTTCACGTTAACTGTGTTCCGTATTGCCTAGTAACATTTTTATTCAACTAATGAATTAGTGAAATATAAATATAGCAACTACACTTATTGTCTTACTTTATAAACCGTGTCCGTCTTTATTAATAGTCGATATGACGCTAGAACAAATATAGATATAGAATAATATGAACTCCTTATAATCCATGGAGTGAACAAGTAATAAGATGGATTATGTATTAATTCATTTCACTTTTAAAATTTAGTTGCCGATTTATTCCAGCACCCTGTCACTTACATCTCACTTAATCCTCTGTAATTATGTGACCTCTTCAAATTGTAATAAGTTATTACGTGACCCAAGTTTTCAGTTCTTAAATCCACGGATCACTTATAGGCCATAAGATTTTCACACCACTTATCTGTCTGTGAACTCCAGTCAACTATTACACCACCCATTCTTAATGTGTTATTGACTGTAAAAACAAATGACCTTTGACCTTAAACTGCATATATATATATATATCTAGTTATTATTGATAACCCACGTCATTTCAATTATTCATATTAAGGTATGTCAACCGTTTCCCACATCACTGTTAAATCCTAATGCATATTTAGTTATAACGAATGCATACCACTGTTAATCAACATTTATCCTGGTTTCATTTTAATTCATAAGCGGAACTAATCACATGGAATTAAAATCTTAGCTACTGATACGATTTTAATTATAAACGTAATCCGACGAAGGTGAATATGATATGTGGGTGCCTAATCTGCAAGATTGTACGTGGATGTAGGGTTTCTGAATCATTCTTAATTATTACAAACAGTTACACATGAACGTCATTGCTATTTATTACCATGAAACTAGGAATAAGATGAAAATTAAAATTATGACAGTTTATTGAATAATCATTGATGCTAAAGCAGAAAATCAAGTTTACAAGTTGGTATTAAGAATTCTTAAGTAATAATTGTCCACCTTCTTCTCAACTTCCGTTGCAAAACGTTCACCATACTTCTCAATGATGCGTTGCTTATGGATTCTTTGACTTCGTTGAATACTTATATACACTTCACTCCGTCGTGTTAATCCAGTTAATGTATAATTTTGGAAGTTCTGGGTATTATGTAACTTCCATCTGCTACAATACCTAAGAAGTTGATGAGCTATGCAGTTAGTATTTCATAATTGATATAGCTTACCTGTAAGATTTCGTATTTTAACGTAGGCATATCCATTTTCTAAATGTTCCTTCACTTCGCCTCTCTGTCTAAGCATATCCATTACCTGGTTCCGAGTAAAACAACCTGAAATATATTTATATACACTTACCAGTGGAGAGTGTAGCTTTCATACCTTTGACATCGGCAGCAGTTACTTGCTTACCAGTTCTCTCTTTAATGCTTTCGATAACTTCATCTGCTGACTCACAGTGAAGTATTACGGGCTTCAAGTTCTCTTTTTCTTCTGACGATAATCTCCTTGTCAATGGATCACATACCATCCATGAACTACTACATGGATGATTGTGGAGCATGTTGTAGGATTTGATGACATATCCTTGCTCCTCTAGTCTTACACGAAATTTAGATCGACAATTACGGAATTTAGACCTTAAACATAAGATATTAGTTACAGATCTTACGATTTTTGCCTTACTTTCAAACCTTCCGATTTCCTCTTATGACAAAACGTACAATTAAACGATACAAACAGGTATTTGAACCTGACATCCTTCAGCAATCTGCTCTCTGTGTGAATGTAACGAGTATAAGTAGTCTGAGAAGCGATAAAATTATAATTCCATACTTTTTGGAACTCTTTTAAGGCGCTTTCAAAATCATCCCACAAGACGAAACGCTTGTTCAGTATCATACTTCGAAAGGCATCGGTTAGGTCGACTGAAATGTCACTTGAGCATGAAGCACTAAAAACAGAAATGACTAATTATTAAAAGGTTATTCCTTGCGACAATAATAACCCAAGAAAATACTACAAATACTTAGGATTTACCTGTGACTTGACATTTCGTTGAGCTTTACTACAGTTGTTGGGATCAAAGATCAAATTACAAAGCAACAACAGAGCCAACGTGTACACTACAAAACAGAGAACGCTAAATTAATGGTTTTGGTATTTATTTCGTGCTTTTTATGTAGCATAACATGACTTATATATGAAAAAACTTGGTACTCATGCAATCCAACCAACCCACGGCAATTGAAATACGGAATGACCGCCTCTAGTCAAGCCGTTCAAGGTCGTTGAAACGAAAGGGCGGGCACATTTCAAAAGGACCTAACGTTTAAACCTTGCCCAGTAAATAGGCACGGACTGGCGGGTAAGCCACGGATTTTCGCGCACACGTTACATATTGTCGTGGATTTTTTGTGTCGTTATTTATCAGCTATTAACAGGCTTTTTTGCATGACACATCAATTTCTGTATTGCTAGTGCTTGTAACATAGTTTTTATTCCAATTTATTGGCAGTTTGACGTATTTCTTGCTCACCACGTAAGTCTTTATGAACTAGTAAAGAAAGATGATTTAGGCTTCATAGTTTGTCGATAGGATCTATAGTCATACTGGAAGAGAGTTTCAGTTATTGATAGATCGATAGGTGGTCCTAGACTGTGGAATATTAAGTATACCCACATCATGAGTGTTCGTTTAGAGAGCCAAGAAGTTAAGGTATTTAATGTATGTTGACCCAAGTTATTTGATGTTACATTATAAAGACTTAGAAATGCCAGGATCCCTAATTGTTGAACCAAACTGTATATTCAGATCAACAGTAATAAACATGTTTACGACGATCCGTAGAGATAAATTAAATGCTAAACAACCAGACATTGATGCATGATTATTTACTACGATGATTGTCAAATGACGGTTGTAAACGACTGGACCGTTTATTGTTAGATTGTTTATTCAATCTTGTGGACATAAAAAACAAAATTAATCCATTTGAAGTACAAAATATTTGTCCCAGAATTGTTGGCATATATGAAAACTTCTTGTTTACAGTTTGTCTCAACCAATACAATTCTTCGCAACTTCAAAAAATTTATATAATTACATTGATAAGGATATCGTGATTACTAATGTGAGCAAGCGGAGTAACTTCTCGATTTAAACTGCTTACCGTTGAGAAGACTGCAGTTTCCTGCAATAGCAATAACTTTCACAATAAACATTGTGGCATCAATAATAATTACTTTCCGCTCTAATTTTCACAGTGCTCGACATGAAACGCATTCGTGGCATAGTTTGGTAATTATTGCTTTGTTGTTCTGTGCTCTCGGTTTTCATTTTACTTTCTCTAGTTGTAGATAATTATCATTAATTCGTTCTGGCACACGAAATGACCTTAATTGCTCCGTTCATAAAACAGGCTGTCCACTTAAAAAAAATTAAAAGTCCCCGGCTGATGCATTAGACTGCTGTAATACATGTCATAAATGTACTACCTAAACAATTACTGAGCTAGTATACTTAAAACTATCTTCTATCACATGTTTGTCCTGTACCTCTAATGTTATTATTTATATCAAATTGATCATGCCTGTAAACTGGCGTGAATTCTGTACTTATTATTTTTAGAATATATTATTATACATGAGTGTTTAGTATTCTGTTGATATGAGTAAGAATGGCTTCAATTAATCATTTGCCTACATTCCATATGCTTAGTGATTATAACTATTATGAAAAAAACATATAAGTAATCAGAAATTCATGAATGAATCGTATAAGTTTATTATCGGTTGAAACAAATGCGCAGGAAATATACTTTTTAGATCCACAGAAAATTAGACTCTGTAGGAGAATTTTACAACCAAAACATGTTTAACATCATATAACTTTGAAACCAATTCAACACAACTTTGACAACATTGAAAAATATATTATAAAACAGAAACTGAGTCAATTTTATAAGTGAACAAATTAACCATCAATTATAAATTGTACAGAATGTAGGAATAATCAGTCAATAACATAAAAAGGTGTAATTTGTAGTTGATAAAAAACCAAATCACAGTTTACTAATTGGAAAGTATGTTTATTCATTTCAGTGGGACAACAGAAAGATTATATTCGCTTAATAAAGTGGTAAGCATGGATACACTATCGTATATCAATAAAAATTTGGATAGGAGCAACATAGTTGTGTAATATATTTGCACTTAATTAATAATACAAGATGACGATGAGAAATGATCACGATCTTTGAGTAATTTATAATCTGAGTTAATGACGAGTGTGTAAGCTATTTGTAAAACCGAGCGATTAAATACAATGTATGAAACATCGAAAAAACGAGGATTTACAAGATAAAGTTTTAGAATTAATGCTTTTTAGTGACAAGCAAATGGGAAACCTTTGCCAGTTATTAAACTAAAAGGTTTTTTCAACAATAAAATTGAAAATGATACAGTACGGATGAAAATAGGGGGAAAACCAGTTGATTAATATACAAACACAAATAATTTAACCCTCAAAAATAGTTTAAAATTTCATCTTTTTATAACATTGAAGCTTACATGGATGAATCACTTGAATAAAATAATAAGTGATAAGTATTAGGAATATTACAATGTATTTTGTTCTATTTCATCATTAAATAATAATCGTTGGCTTAATTGAGGTGAAAATTTGAGAGAATTGTTTCGAAGCAAATTAGACTCCATTAATAACGGTGACGAAGGATAAACTGACGGTAAATCAAAAGGACAACAACGCACTGCTATACTCATTGATCCGACAGCAGGTCGAGATAAGGTATGACCATTGATTAACGAAGATAAGTGCGACGAGTATCCTTGTAATAATGGCTTAAATAAGAGAGAAAAAACATACACATGTGGTACAATAAATCAGACAATTTTTATGACATCAAAAAACATTGAGTTCAGTTGTTAGACCCCAATACACGTAAACTGAGATATTGAAATTGTTAGTTGTGAACATTATTAAACTTACAGAAATTTTTTTGAACGATCAGGACTAATGATGAAGTTAACAAACTAAATAGTTTTTGACTGAGATCATGAACCGATTGATGTTAGACCACTATTGAAAACCTGGAAGCACTGAATGGTCGTTTCTTCCTATTGTGGGACTTCTCAGCAGTGTGCATCCACGATCCCACTCGCAGGATTCAAACCCAGGGCCTTGAGTCTCGTGTGCGAACGCTTAACCTACCGTTATAAATAAAAATATTGTTCCGTTGTACTATTTAAACTTGGATTAATTTTAATTTGGTTATTTATTCTCTGAGGAAGTGACTTACACTAAGTCACGAAACGTCAGAAAATCCAATTTCTACTCATTGGGATATTACAAATATATTATTTTTATTTATAACAATCAACCCAATGCTCAATTTATTCGAAATTATCAAATCAAACCTTGGTAATGACACCTGCTTAACCTACCGGACCACTGAGCCGGCATCCAATAGTGTTAATGTCTAACCTCAACCGATCCACGAAATTGCGCGACCATCTTCCATTGTGATGAGGTAGATACCTATCTCTACCCGACATGGATCGTGGATGCACACTACTGAGAAGTCCCACACGAGGAAGAAACGGCCATCCAGTGCTTCCAGGTTTTCAATGATGGTCTAACATCAATCGGTTCATGATCTCAATCAAAAAATTAATAATCTCCACAACCCCTATACTGATAAACTGAATAGTATAAATACCTTTAGACGATTCGTTTAATTGTAAATTCCCCTAAGATTTTAAGAAGTCATAGAGTAAAGGAAATTGCATCCAAATTTTGTCACTTCAACCAAAACTTTATATTGTCTATGGAAACAGGAATCTACCACAGACATATAAAAAATGCCATTTCAAAACTGAAGATAAGAACATCATGCAAAATTATGAGCCTATATATATCACTTTAGTTATCTCCAAACCATGTAATGAAATTCCCAAATATTAATCCGCTGTAAAACTTACTATCAGTCTATAAGGTAGATTCCTTAAGATTAAATCTTGGATGAGTTCGGACTTTGACTTTTTATTCTAGTATTTACTGAAAGTAATTTTGATCACCTGTGTGTTGACTTACCTAAATACTTCAATAGGATTACCACAGGCTTCTTAAGGGTAAATCCAAACCTTTTGTGTACAAAGACCCCTTGTTTGCATAGCTGAGCTTTACTTATTCACTGATTTCAAACATTTACAACAAATCTCTCTATATCGAAAATTCGTCAAGTTACACTTGGTGTAATCGAAGGTAATATTTAAAGTTCTTGGCTTTTTAAGCCAATATAAGTGAATCCTGTAATTGATTCAGCATGCAAAAACCTTTTGCAAGCTGAAGGTCTCAATATAGTGCATTGATCACAGTTGCTGATGAGCTTAGCTACATAGAAAACTGTACCACGATGAGGTGCAACAAGACCACAAAATAGTGCTTGGAATAGAGTTTCGAACATGGAATTACTAAATACAAATGGATATGCTTTGCTCATCTTTATCGTTATTTCGACCTCATTATAAACGACAGGGAGATATCCATTACTTTTAAGGTATATATGTTTATCCTCGAATCTTAAGGAAGCAAATAAAATAGTTAATTGGTTCAAAAGAAATTATATACACTATTATGTTAAAAAGCAATCGAGTGTACACAAGACGAGTGACCCATCCATCTCCACAACCCCTATACTGATAATTACGAATAAATTGAACAGTTAACAAAAATGTAAGAAACAAATAAAATGACATGAAACAAACAAATTATAAATTAAATTACAGTTCCATTTGACGCTTGTGATCGAGAGACTTTACCAACTAGAAAGATGTTTTGAGTTGATAAACCAAGAGAACGATATAAATTGATATCTTTACCTGATCCATAACCACAATGAACTCGCAAATCGGCCTAACATTTAAATTATGAAAAGAAAAATGGTTAATTAGTAAAAAATGATCATAAATGATAATTAACTTGTATTACATTGACAGTTAACTTTAAATGAAAAATATTCTCTACAAGAAAGAAAATGAAGAATAAATCGGTAATTAGTACTTAACTAAAATTTAATGTGATTTTTTACAAGACTATGCTACTTTAAAGTAAAAAGCTATAGAGAAAGCTTATAATATGAACTAGCATCTGTTGGTTAAGGAACGAAATGTGAGTATTAAGCGGAATAACACAGTTTCATGATCTGCCTTGTTTTAAGTGCTAAATACACTCGACCAATAGACAAGGTCTGGGCCAAGTATATATGCACTGTTAACCTAACGACAGATGCAAAACGTAACGTGTGTTTGAATATGCTAAGAGACAAAACCTATCAGTCGATCACAACACAAAAGATTCAAACTAAAAACTGATGAAAATATGATTTCAAATCATAAGTAACTAATTACTGGAGAACGTAAAGATAGGTGGAATGCAGCTGCTTCTTTTTTCACTTAAGGATGTGACTGCATTTAAAAAAATACTGTAATATTTGAAGAGGTAGACCAGACAACAAGTTAGTCGGAAGGTTGTTTTTTGTCACATTGAAGATAAAATACCAACATATCTATTGTCTTAGTAATTCGCAAAACTCCATATACAACTGAGTATCTACTTTTGACCATCTGAAGTATAACTAGAGGGCTCAGATGAATTCACAGAAATTACATTGAATTTGAACAATCGAAGACGGTAACTATTAAGCAAACACGCAAACAAAATTCTTCTTACCGTTCACCAGTCGACAGGAGTAATAATCCATAATCAATCTTATAATGGGGTGACATAATCTGATTAATGTTCATTTTATGTCCCAAACTTTATTATTATTATTATTACTGTTATTATTATCTTCAATTGTCGTTTTAAACTTAAAAGATGCACTACTATTGGCTATCGTACAAATCATATAACATAAGGCAATAAGTAACGAAACTAAAACAAATACATATAAAGAGCAAATTTCCGTAAGAATGATAAAGTCTATTTCTAAATGAGTTACGAAAGTGATGATTTCTATGAGAGAGTGAGACAAGGAACTAATACAATCTTTACGTAATGTATGAAAAAATACAAACAACAAAATGAAACAGAATGACAGAATGCATACGTTTTCAACAACTGTTTTTAACATTTGAGCCTTCTGTTTCAGTGGATCTGAATATAATCCATTTAGGAAGAAAGTCATCCCAAAGGGAAAATTATGATTTGCCATCCAATTTGTAACCCGACGTCTTTGCATATCTGGTCGTGCAGACAAATAGATTAATAAATATCCTAATCCCTGCCAGTGACGAGCAACATCTACAGCACCAGGATGAACTTTCGGATCCTATAAAAAATAAATATGAATAGGATAAGAAAAAAAATTATATGCGGATCAATCAAATATAAGTTTAATGGTTAGAATTACCAAACAAAAGTTGCACACAGACATTTATGAGCAGCTTAATTTGATAATGATCTTCTGATGACATTTGCACGGTATTGTTATCGGCTGAATTAAATTTTTTATTTCATGTGGCAAAAATGTAAACAAGTTGATAGGGATTTACAGTGAAGTTACCTATTTTTATGCTTCGTACAATACTGTAAGTGTGGACGCGATTTATGAGATCGGGTAATAATTCTCTGAGAATAATTACAACGATAATGGACTATAAAAGAAATAGGGACAAATAAAATTGAAATCCATAGTGGATGCATACGGAACGAATAATTGAGGTAGGACATTACTGATTGGAATGATGTATTCTACAATAAGACTTAACGGCGACTGTACGATTCTTGGATAAGTAGCTACACGCAATGACAATAGAACGTCAAAAGAACTACCACGTAATCATTGCTTTTTGCACATAATATGTAGCCTTGGTTCTAAGATTTGGAGTCACCGAAAAACCAAAACCAAATTCAGACCTTTAAGGTGGCTGGAATATATAAAAGTCAGGATATGTTTCATGATATTTGCCACTCGTCAGCAAAATGTATCCGTAATCTTGAAGGAACTGGTGATCCCTATTGGATTCGATGCTGTCACTCGGATTCACGGCCAGAGACGTTCCCATTGAGCCAGTTGGGCACCGCTGATCTGCTGTAGAACTGGGATACATTTACAACTGACCGATCACAGATTAGTGACTAATATCACGTTTTTGTAGTCACTTTTGCTGACAGAATATTATTATTATTAACGGCTTTATTCAATATTATATTCTGGTACAGTATAGAACTCTCAGCGCGAGATATTTCAACAAGTCATTTTACAAAAAGAAAAGAAAAAGGTAGGGAAAAAATCTGAATCTGTACAACTTTTCGATTACAAATATGTTTAAGAATACAGGTTATTGACTCGGTCAACTCTAACAACCTATTTTACCGATTAACCTGTAACCGGCCAATAGTCTATGTGACTAGATAAGAGTTGAATAGCACGAAACATGTTCAGAGTGTCCAGTCGACTTCCTATAACTAATTAACATCACAGCACAACGAATGAGATGTTTGGTCACTTAGACGAATGTCCGCGTTCTCACTTGATCAATAGAATTTGAGCGGCACTAAATACTAGACCAGCACGACATAATTCACTATTCAGTGACCAGTCAACTGCCTTAACATAACGGCATGATTTACACACAATAGAAAATATAGATTCGTGTCATGAAAGTTATACTCAAAATAGGTCTTCTTTTATGGGTCAAGTATATAAAGCAATAATTACGATTTTTAGTTAGTCAACTTCGTTTAACCATACTTCAGAAGCCTTTTCTGAAATCTTTGCACTGAAAGTAGTAGGTAATTTTACCTCCAAAAATGTTAAAGCTTTGGATTGACATAGATATCCTCAAATTACAGAGTGATTTTCATGATTGTCATATTTAAGTAGGCTGTAGTGATTATCGTATAGAACGTCAAAGAATGGGTCGATAGTTATCAGTACGTACACCAAGAATGAGAACAACAGTAAAGATGAAATGAAAAATAGTGGTGTTCTATGTTTTGGTATCCGATGAGGCGGCCAGTTCAAGTGTTTGGTCCGCCTACTTTCCAACTGTGAAAATGTTGCAATTAAACTAAATGTTTTAGAATTCATTGAAGTGAGCAATTAGAAATCCTGATCGTACGTGCTCACGCCCTATTATAAAAGGGTTATAAATTATCGGGATCTAAAATACTGGAAAACGTTAATCGAAACGCTACAGTTCTTGGCATATTTGGCATAATAACTATCTCTTGGAAAAGCGAGAGACAAATATTTTGGAAATCAAGCATCTTATAGATGATGAATGGAAAAATGGTTGTAGAAGTTGAACTTGTTAAAAACTTTAGCGATTTACGACTGCCGGGAAATACTGACTGTTAAAAGCCATTTTTGAAGTATGTTTTCAATAATTACTATTTGAATTCATGCCAGAGATATTTGTTGTAGTATTGCACAACTAGAAATCGAAATTCTCAACTGTAACAAAAGTTATGGCATTGAATAGCTATTAGTATTAGTATCAAGATACCTCGAGTAAATTGCAATGAAAGGCTAATCAACCTTGTGTCATCCCCTACGCTATATATTAGAAGAGACAGCTCCAACTGCAATAAGTTATATTGGTATGACCATCGTGTGTAACTTGATGGGGAAGATTGTAGTAACAGAGATATGTTATCGGACTATTGAAAAAAGAATGAAAATTCACAAAGAACATCAGGAAATATACATGAGCAGTGAAAAGTAATCATACACTTATCGGCGACACTACACTTAACTATGCCTTTTTTCCATAATAAACTTACTTTTCCCATCAGGGACAGACTTGCTGCAAAACTTCCATCTACACTGAATACCACTACCTCAGTTTGAGGAGGTACTATAGCTAATGTAATAATTACTGGGTGATCAGGATCAGATTCAGCGGTCATTTTAATAGGATATAGTCCATCCGGGAGATGAATTTGTTCTGGCAAAGAGAATCGGATTCGTCCAGAAGAATCAGTCACTTCTGTGCATACATATGACCACGACCCACTAATAGATTGGATTTCAACTCGGATCTGCAAATAATTTATAAAAGCATGTAAGTAGAGGATAGAAGTGTAAATAAACTCGTGACAATGAATCATCCCTACTTAAAAGTTTTATTTAATATTAACTGATTATTCAGTTATTGGCTATGAGATAACTTACAGTTTTGTAATTGAATACCAAAAATTTAGACTTAGTAAATCGGCAAATTAAAATGGAATAATATTTAAAATTAACTAGGACTGTATTCAGTGTAATTTCAACAACAATACTTTTTGTAATAAAAATCAAAAAGGAGACTTTACAAACCAACCGAAAATGCATCCAGTAAAAATGTATTAAAATTCCGCTAAGAATCTTGTGATCACAAATTAAGAATGATCTCTATTTTTAAAACACTAAAATAAACTGGGATAAGTTGTATATTTGACAAGATTAACTAGATATCCGTAAGAATTAAAATTATGATTACTGAACAAAATTAGTTAATACCACCTTAATAACGAGTGCCAATGTCCACTGATTCATGGGGATTGAGAGCTCTAAAATTGAAGGAATCATGATTTGTTACATTCAGTCGACCTTCATATAATTACAAAAAGTGTGTTTGGTATAGAAGTGAATATTAAAAATTTACCAGTAGTTTTTCTAACAAGTTAGAAGCGATAAAATCTACCCGCCTATAAGGAAGGGTTGAAATGATACATTGAGATTGATTGATGACTCTACTAACGCTTGTATTGGTAAAACATACTGGATAATAATAGTAAGTTTAAATGGTAGATAAGGATATATATATATATATATGCATTTGTTATGATTACTTTTTCGGAAGAAAAACTCATCAAATCCAATCCACCAAAAGCAAATCGACCTGTGATAAGTGGTGTAGATCCAGTTGTAGTAATCACATCATTTGCTCGATGATTTGCTTTAAAGTTCTAAGTGAAAAACAGAAATAAAAAATAACAATTTGTAGAAGAATCGCGTTTAACGATAGCGCTTATAATAAATAGGTAAATAATTAGGACGGTGAGTTTAGGAAATAAGTAGAGTGCGAGGATTGTGAGCATAAATTATTGGTTCATACACGAATGAACAACAAACAAGATGATATGATGATACAGTATTGGTTTAAAAGGAATCAAATATATAAACCATGGGCTATTTTATATATAGGAAAGAAGACTACACAGGAAAAATATCAACATGTATCATCAGCGACAACACCATGTACAGTAAAATCACTGATACATACACCAAGATTAATAAATAACTTGAAAAAGCAATTTGCAGAAAATATTAGAGATAAGGCAGTAAGAGACTAAAATTACACGCTTCTTCATAATCAATCTAAAAATAAGTGTACATACGACCGAAAATACAATTAGAATTAATCTAATATTAAAACCAAGGATATTCCTAACAGTTGGATTGTATGAGTGGATTTCGACTGTCTCTCACAGAACTTAGTAATTGATGCAAAACGATAGTAATACAAACTATTCAGTTCCTGCTAATGGTCTTGTTTATTTTCGTAGTATTAAAGTGAATCAGTAGTATAACACTAGGACGAATGTTAATTCATTTAAAAACCGGAATACAATCATCGTATGAACGAGCTCAGTAGTGAAGTCTCTCATTACAGGGAAAAGAACGAGAAAAATATTAAATAATCCCGAAAACGAATAACAAGAATAATATGTGTTTCCTACAAGTCAACAAACTAAAAACATTCAAAATTAAATGCACAAAACTCTCTCAATTTAGTTCGAACTTTAAAAGATATAAAAAGACCAATATATAATACTTGGTTAACAGTCGATATTGTATTCTGAAAACAGGATAAATATGAATAAGTCATACGTCTCTATCAAGTAGATGGCTAAATTGAAAAAAGGCGTTTTTTTATGATTATCTACATTAACGCCATAGAGGAATTAGGATTAAAGATGTTGCAAGCTTTTTTCTTCTTCGGAAGAAAAGTTCTACTAACATGACAATTCGGAACGACAGATTTAGAGAAAGGTCAATAATTCAGTCAGCTTAAATTACCCAGTGATAGTATTAAAGTCATGTTTACCATGGCTGAAGACAATTTTTTAAATTTTATATTGTATTACTTAAACACAAAAAATTATGTAATGATAATTACAATGTACTTTTTACATGTAATGGAAGATTTGACAAGATCTTAATGACAGCTATCGTCAAAATGCAATTAATTCATTGCTTTAATATAAACTGTTTTCAATGTTACAGAAGTGTCCGGATGAATTCATTTCACAGATTTTTAGGAATATCCCATGGTTTTAACAATTTTGTGCATAGCAGAAAACAAGATCATATAATCAGTAGACAAGCTAAGCAGTGGTATAATCTAATATTCATTTGTACAATAAAGTAATCACCAGTAGACTTCCCTCAATGTCTTACATCTCAATTCAACACGACAAAAGAAAATATGCAAGTGATACAGAATTAAAATAGAAATGACTTAAGTTGTTCTGGTTAAAGTAGAAAGCTCAGGTAAAAATTAATCACGATAATTGCATAAAAACTGTATATTCCCAAAGACACAGTTCAATAATATAAGTAGTGATTACTTTTATTGAATGTAGTAAGATATACGGCGAATAGAATGGTAGTGGCACGGAAAGTTGGACTATATTCACTTTAGTTCTTGTACATCGTATCAACCTTATGTTTAGTATCAATCAGATGAGCTAGTATTTAGCTCTTAGTTACCAGCGATTAACAGTTATCCAACCACGATCCATAATGCCCACAAATTAAGCAATGGATTTAGCTAGCTGAAGAGAAATCTTTTTAGTTTAGTTGATTCTGTATTAAATATTTAAATTGAAAAGTTTACTTTATTGAAAGGCAAAAGTATTGAGATAATTATATAAACAGTAATTGAAAACTAAGCATTATAAAGAGACCAAATTGATACAGAAGAGATGATTTGGATTAATATGCGAGCAGTAGAGTACTTTTAATAAGCCATTTTCCAAATATTTAACTGAAGAGATGATGAAGCATAAACTTGATTGATAGTATAAACCGACTAACATTTAAATTGTTAAATGAATATTTGACTAGATAATTAGTTAATAACATTTCAAAATGAGACAGACTTTTGACAGTATGTGGAATATGAAGATAGCAGATAAAAGATAATCTTTTTCAGCTTGATATTTAAAAAAGTTAAACAAATTGTTCTGTAGGTTTTGATAAAATTTCTTTTTAGTTTTTTTACAAACGGTTTTGATTATTCTTGAAGTTGATTCAACTATTTTCATCTCTTTATGTTATAAGCAAACTTTATTTAAGAAGTTACAATAAAATTATGAAGATGAAAAGATAAACTTCACATTTCTTCCACTGAACATTATATCGGAACTCGATATTTAGGAATACCAAAGAGCTGTCTCTGAAAGTTCTATCATAATTAGCTAACATAACACAAGACAGTAAGCACAAATTAAAATAACACAAATTAGCAAGGGTTATCGAATTTTAAGAACTGAATTTTCATTTTAATCTTGATAGTAAAATAGTGTTCGATCTTCAACCTTATTGATGGTTGTTCTTAACTTCTTTTGTCATTTTATTTCCTTATCTCCAAACTAGATAAGCTATGGTCAAGTAGTCAATAAGTTCAAGTTTGGTTCACTTTTTTTGTTTTACTAACCATGATGTTTATTTTTCGAATCAACAATAAATGATACAAGAATTATCAGTCAAGTTGTACAAGGAAATTCATATCCGAAATTTTAAATGCAGTTAATTAAGTTTACACTTTACAACAATTACATTACATGGTAAAAGATGAATTATCCATCATTTTCAGCATAGGATGACATGCGAACAGTAAGTTATATTTATTTCAAGATTATCCTTTAAAAAATCATCGATAAGTTGTGTCGAAGACAAGAAAAGCAAATGATAAATATATGTATAAAACCTATTTAATTGTAGCAACTGAAGACACTATAAATTAAGCAATTTCAAAATATCGAGATTCACTCAGCAGATCATAACAAATGCATGCAAGTTATAAAAAATTTTAAAAATATTTAACTGTCTAGATTTCAGTACGTAAAACAAAATCTTTGCTAACATAATTCATTAATGAATGCATTTTATAAAGGAATCACTACTTATTGGAATTAAAGTCAAACATGTACACTAGTGGATACAAGTCCAATGGTTTAGAGGTTAAACATTTGGACACGAGATCGAACGTCAGGAGTGTGATCGCCCGGTTGGATTGTGGATGCTCACTGTCAATAAGTGCTAAACTACGACAAAATAACTCTCTAGTGGTTTTTCAACGCATATCTAACCTAGGTCGTTTTAAAAATAAATAATATTCAGCAATCTCAACAAACCCCTTGTGCCGAAAATTAAGATAAAATTTGATAATTCAGAATGTAAGTCTAAAGCAAAGATAAAAAATAAATAGTCAAAGTAATCACCTAAATTTTCATTAATTACCCTAGGAATTTATTAATATTCAACTTTATAATTTGTTAGTTTAACTGACACGCAATGACAACAAACGAAACAAAATATCCTTAGATAAAAAGCAAATGATATTGTGCAATATATACATTTGACGAAACTTAAACGACAATAAATAACTGAAACCAACTATTATAACAATGGTGAAATGTGTACAACAGTAATTTTTAATAACATGGCAAAAGATAGAATGGGAACATAGAGAACGTTAAGTAATAACACACTTCAACGACAGAACTTCCACGTCACCCTCCCCATAAAACTATATGAACCGCTTACCACATGATATGGAATACAAGCAGACTAAGATCAACATAGACAAAAAAGAACAATTGATGATTAAAATGAAATAAGAAACGATTCTCATGAAAATAATATTATGTAGTTATTAAGTAAAACGAGAGAGCAATTAATTTTAAAAACTCGATTAGATGTAGCTCCTTTGCACATACAAGTTGGTTTATTCAGCTTTGAACCACACTTTAAGTATAAGGGATAGTAATACAACCCGCATTCCCAAACCAAAATAAGTAGAGTAGAACTCGAGTCAATGGAAAAAAAGAGATACTTATCATTAGAGTGTGAATGGAGAAAAAGTCTGGTAGTTATGTTTTGTATGGACAGAGATTTTTTCAAAACATAAAAAGCAGAAATATTGAACAAACAAAAATAATAAATAATAAGAATCATTTATAAGTTCATTTGTACTCAGAGAATCAGTTGTGACTACAACTTATGTTATCACTGAAAGTTTTGTCACTATTTTCAGCTTAAAGTACATTTCCATTAGAAAAATACAATATTCTGAATATTACATATCCATGTATTGTAGGTTAACAAAAAATAGAATGATTTCGCAAATAATTAGTTAAGCAAAACGTAACTAATGATGAATAACTTGCCATACATGAACCAAAGCCCGAAATTGAAATGATATGATGTAGTAATGTGTGCTTAGAAAAATAAAACGTTACTGCTAATAGTCATCTGATAAAACAAAACTACAGGATATTTGATAATAAAAACAATGTGAAGTGTAGTAAGTAAAAATGTGAAATTCACGTGTTCTTCCTCTGACAAGGAAATTATTTCTGAATTATTCATCTTAATACTAAAATTCTACTTGTAAAATACATTCAGACGACTTTTTTTTCATTTTAAAGTGTGAAGTAAAGTAGTTAAATATATTGGCTTATTTTATCTGAAATTAGCAAGCGAAAATTTAAGTCAGTCTGAACTGGAAATACAAAGATTCAGTTGAAATTCAAGGTGAAACGACTTAGTTTATCGAATAGACCGACTATAACAGTCAGTTCTAAAAAAAATCCACTGAATACCAAAACTGAAAACTTTTATTATTTTACCTTTAATCGTTCAGATGATGTTCGTTTCAAGAAATTACGAGGTCCAAATGACAAAGTATGACTGAGGTTGGAGAATCTCGATTGACTACTACTACTTTTTTCTGATTGCTGTGAAATTTGTATACTGGAATCATCCATAACCTCATAGGTTTGTGATTTTATCTGATTTGGATTCAATGATAATTTGGCCAGTTCCGTAACAGCTATTTCATCAGACAAATCTGCCGAGTATGATGTTTCTAGAACACTTAGTCCCAGTGTATCTAGGATCTGGAAATACATACACACAACAAATATTAGAAAAGAAATTTTAATTGATAAGATTATTTATCGGAAAATAATAGATACATTTCAAAGAATAGTCGTATAACCGATCTCGTAATGTAATGTAATAATAAAATTAGTTCATTTACAAGGTAGTTAAACATGAGCTACGGATACAACCCGGCTGAACGAAATGAAGTAGCTGGTTTGGGCTTCGGACCTGGGATTTAGCTCCAGAGAACATAATGGATTTATCACTAGGAAAAATGACCCACATCTTCAAATTATATTCTAGAAATAGCTACAAAATTGCTGTCAATTTAAGGGCATGGTGAGGTTGATACAAAAAACATGTAAAGCATAGATATTTAAGGATAAAACGTTTTATAATATGTTGTTCATAGGTTATTTTGAGAGAACACTTATCACAAGGATTAGAGTCATGTGAGGCAGAAGTAGGCTGAGTAGGATAACTGGGATATCCTAATGAAGCATGTATACTATATGGAGAAGTGATTCAACTACCCTTAAAGAGTAATTCTAATTATCCACAACTAGAGAAGAAACAACAAAAACAGAGACGTCGGAACAACAGCATTATAATTAACCAATGATAGTCTAAGTGTATAATACCTGCAAGAAGGAATCGAAATTTAATAAGTAAGCTCAGTAATGACAGTGCTGAAAATGAAAATGATTTTTTTAAATGTCTAGATGACATATAAACAACAAAACATACAAGCACAAAACACATTAATATTAGGATAGTATTATTAAATTGTTCATCGGTGAGATGAACGTTCGAAACAAAAATGTAAAAAAAGAATATTGATAACCAAATGAATCGTCGAGTGATTACTGTTACTACATATATATATATATATATATATATATATATATATATATATATAACACAACCACAAAACGGTAGTATAATGATCGATCTTAAAATATTTAGCTACTTCGCGTGCTTCAAACATGTGGGTAATCTTATCTAAATTGTACTGTAGTTTAATATTGAAGAATGATAAATACGGATTAAGTGTAAATTCAATTCAATTTAACAATCCACTGTTTGACATCAATTGATGTACAAAAAGGTTATCGTTTGAGATCATACTTTAAGTTCTAAGTATCAACTGAACACACCAACCTGTCGTATAATAAAAGATGCTACATCTTTTGATTCCCAGTAGCTTGCATGCAAAATTGAAGGACGTGCACGAGCTAAAATATTTTGCATTGCTTCTGGACAATGAACATTATAATCAACTCTTTTAGGTCCCCACCATGACTGTTGAACTAGAAAAAAAGAAAGCAAGTGCTTAAAAAGTAGTTACGGGTAAAAGAAAGATACTTGTTTAAGACGAATAAGTAGTAAACTAAGACATTTTAACTCCGCTTACTTCAGCATTGCGTAATTTAATTTTACAAATGAGTGAAAGCATTATCATCATGTTACTAATCTGTCTCATACAAAGTTTCGTTTCATATTGCAGTACAAAGAGCGATACTCATAACTGAAACCCTAAACAAAAGCAATTTCGATAGGCATGAGGCGATAAACTAATGAGCGAATCATATGCCAAACTAATGTGGAAACCAGATATATAGAAGTATTTTAAGTGTAGATAATGAAAAAGCCTATAACTAACAACTTAAACGAGTAATTTAGTTGTAGTCCAGTTTGATAATATACAAAGTAAAAATTCTATTTTTAATGTAAAGGCACTAGGAGACGAATCAATGAAAAAACACTGTTTCTGAAATGCTTTTTAGATAGCGGAGATGTATTTAGCAAAATCTTTGTCGAAATACAAGTCATCGTTATGAAATTACTTTGTGTATGATTAATCTATATTAGTCAACTCGAATTTATTGTTTACACTTGAAAAAGTATTGCATGAGTACTTAACAGATGACCCTTCTCTTTCACATCCGATACGTTGCATAAGTATCATACAAGGTTTATTTATGTCTCATTTTGATAGCATTTAGCCTATAGCGGTAAAAAAAACTGTACAAAATTAGAAAATTTAGCATCACTGATTGTATGTTGCTGACGTTTTAAAATGAAATTTGAACTCATCAAACTCACAGGAATTTGAACTAGTAACCATAACGTTTTTATTTTCTTTAAAAAAACATTGCAATAATCATGTATTACCCTCAGGCAAGGAAAGAACAATGAATGGTTTTAACCTGAATAAATTTCAACAATCATTAGTTCATCATACAGCTTTTTTTAATTATAAAATGGTAATTAATTATTGATTATTTTATCCTTCAGTAATACATATGTTTTTGGTTATTTTATCAAACACTGACCTACTTTAAATGTTAGAACAATTATTAACTGTACACTAAAAATAGGCATTATTATTGAATGTCATTAACTGTATCTATCTGACTTTACCATCTCAAATTTGATCCTAGTTTTTTTACTACGTCATATTAACAATCTGATTTTTCGTCTTGCTGATATTCTCTCTATGTAATGGTTTCAAATATGGTATCTTAGACCATCGAACATTAATACCATGCTTAATGTTATTTATTAGTGACTAACAGTTTGCAAAATTCGAAATAGAAAGGTAGTCGAATATTTATCTGAAATTCATAAATAATTAGGAATATTGATCTTTATAATGATAATTTAAGATTAAAACTGCTGATGTAAAATACTTACAAATTTATCGAAAACTAATTATATACTTTCTGAACATCTGATTACAATATACGTCGGTCTAACTTAACAGATTACAATGAGTAAACTAGTTGTCCTGTTTGATTTGAATACATATTCAAGAGCAATGATGATAAGCTCTGGTTCAACGATCACCTAATATGGCATACATCTGTCTAATCGCCGAATGTTTGCTTTACGACTGTGACTATGGGATATTGCATCCTATCAACATCCTGATCTCCATATTCAAAAGATTTAAAATACTCAGATCATACACACTTGTTTTGTCCATTTCATATTCGGTTCACTTTGTTCCCAATTCCTTAACCTATTACTAGATGTCTTACTATGGAGAGCTGGACTATCATGACCTACTGTATGCTGAACTACTTCAGAAAATCTATTTGTCGACTAGTTGAAATTATCTAACACAAAGTTTTAGAAAACTATAGTGCATTTGATAGTAATTTATTTCGTGTTATGACTGCACATAAGATAAAGGAATTCATGTCAGTATTATGAATAACTAGTGCTGCTATCAACCAATGCTTCACACCATTTGAACAATCGTCTACAACTAAGAATGGACAATTTTTATGCTTTCCTAGGTATGCAAATGAACATCTATAAATCAATCTACTCATATATAGCATTATCAAGGCTTCATTAGCAAAATGTCATTAACCCTCTTGCGAATTGACATAAAGATCAAGGTAGTGTATCAATTGTCAAAGAATTCAGAGCTCATAACTGTGATTTGCCAGTTGCCATAGCTGTGGCTTTAAAAGTGTATATTCTCCTGAAATCAACCGTAAATCCGAGGATATTAAAAATGATTTTTATGGCATTATTTGTGTTAATCATGATCATCAAGAAGACATAGCCAGAATACCCAAACATACGGTAAGATTTCTACAGTACTACCCATAATCAAGACGCAAACTGTCTTATACAACATTACACGTGCTAATATATTGAGAAAGATCTTGGTAGCTCATTTTGTTGAAGAATGTTATGTCATTTGGCACCGTTGAAATAATGTTGGTTGGGCAGCAAATTTTTGATGATTGATCAAGACTATCGTGCTGCGAGGTGGCGAGTAATACAAAAAGTACTATGAATCTTCATTAGTAAACTAGTGATTGCATATTTTAACATTTTGTGTTGCATCAAGTTGGATTTTGGTATTTTGGACAATAACATTATCACTGTTACAGTGTTTTTTTGATTACGTTCAGTATTGTGACGTCTAGATAGTTATAGCGCTCTCAGCTTCAAAATATCCAGTTTAACTACAGCAAGTAAGAAAGCAAGTTACTAATCTTGTAAAAAAACCCAATGAGATATTTTATCCAAAAAAATAATTTTGCAACAATATTAGTACTACTACTACAAAGTATATTCAGTACGTTACATATATGAACAAAAAATTTCAGATGTTTTACGTGAGAAAACAAACCTTTTTTCAATGCTTCAAGTGCAACAATAGACTTTTTTTCCCAATTTAACTGTTGATTTGTTAATTGTCGTTTTACATTTACAGTACTATCATTATTTTCATTAATCGTAGAATTATCACTGTCGGATAAATTGTATGATTTTTCTGAAACATTTGCAGAAAATAATTCAGCCTGCTGTATAAGAGTTTCAATTAGATTTGTTGACTGTCCATCTCCAAGTGGATAACGAACATATTGGGGAATGAATATTGGGGATATACAGCTGAAACGATTATCCAACAATGGTTCAATGCGAAAACCACATGGATCAGTTAAATGAAAAAGATTATAAGCTTGACCTACGGACAACTTAATTTCTATCCAATGATTGTGAAAAAGAAAATAAGAAAGACATAATTAGCTTTATCATATAGTCATCGTCGAGAAGTGTATTGTTGCAAATACGAATTGATTATTAATTTCAACTGCAAAATTTATTAGCTACGTTTGTTCTATGTATAGTGCATTGGATAGAAAATCGTTTGGTGTTATAACTCCATGCAAAAATAATGGACTTAGTGTTTGGTCTTGCTACTGTGCAATGGCTCACATGATTCAAATAATGATGTATTATACTGACTGAAACAGAAAACCGCAAAGTAATAGAAAAGTGAAATAACTACCAGTCCTTAATTGACGTTATTCTTCAGCAAGTAACTTAGTATCCCCTAAAAGATTATGGTTATAAAGTCAAAAACGAAATCATGTCAGACAAATTTCGACAAAAACCTTTTCTACGAGGATCAAGAGGTAGTGACCGACATTGAAGCCATCTCAAAAATTCGTATCAGAATGGGATAATCAATATAAGATTATAAAAACAGGTATCCAAGTGAAGTCAATTCACTGGATTTTCAAGCTCAATAATCCCAATCTCGTGTTTAAATGCGACAAGCATAACCATGTTTGAATCTATAGTCCAACTTTAAAAGCGGAATCAAATACTGAATAAGAAATAGATCATCAAAAATATTACACAAAACTACAACCAATATTCTTCTAGCTTCATTGGAACCTAGGCAGTTGAAAACATTCAAAACAATAAATAATGGAGCCTAGGCAATTTAAAGTGCTTTGGCAAATTCAGACAACTATTTCGCTGGTTTGCATGGACGCACATCAGAAAGATATACTGGTTGATTTGGATAAGAGAAAGTTGTTATAAAACCTACAAGAGTTGTAATTTGCCTCTGTAAACTGATCATCTCTACATAGACAAAAGAGAGTATCAATGTTAAAGTTAAACTCTATTCGAGGAAGGTAAAACTAGATGAAACCTTACTGAGAAGCTCCAATATAGTTTTTATTCTACCTAGCTTACACGGTTGATTTGAAGGGATTTTATTCAATCACTTACATAGTTCAAAAGAAAATAACTGAGCAGATTTCAACACTGTTGGGCGCCGGCTCACTGGTCTGCAAGTGAGGAGTTCGCGTAAGACAGAAGGTACTGGGTTTGAGTCCCACGTGCAGGATTGTGGACGCACATTGCTAAAGAGTCCGATACTAGAACGAAACGGCTTATCAGTTCTTCTACGCTTTTAATGGTGATTTAACAATGATCGGTTCATGAGTTAAATGAAATTTAACAAACTTCACAACCTGATACTTACTCCATAGATGTATAGTCGATCATGTAAATAATGCCTAGAACGTCATGTTATTTAATTTAATAGTTATTCTTTTAAATTTGATCAGCTCAGTTGATGATCAAAGTTGTTTAACCGAACATTGAAATTTGACAAAAAATCATGTAAAAACTTAACAAGAAACTGAACAGCATAAAAAACAATTTTGTATATTAATTAAATTTAGACAATTTAGCAATGTATACATCAGGTGTTTGCTACTTATGTTGATCGATATACGTAGTATGTGGCACTAATCAGATGTAGAATGCCTGTGAGTAGAAGATTCAGTTGAAAAGAACAAGAAGAGAAATAAAGAGCAATTGTAATTACAACAAGATTGAAAGAATCATGAAGCCCGTACAGTACAATTTGAAGATGTGCAAATATATAAATATATTTGATGTATAGTTTTTTTATGAAATCACTCTATAATTTTGTATCTAAGATTTTGTTCATTACATATGTGTTTTTATCATTTGTTTTTGATTATTGATTTTTTTTTCCGCTTCACATGATAATCAATTTTTAAAGTCACATAGAAATAGGATACTTTATGAACTTTTTTTTTAAGAGAAAAGACATATGAATTAACAACAGCAAACGGTCAATTTGTAAATAATAAAAAAAATTTTAAAGTTATTTATGAATTTCTAAATGAAATAACCTACCTTTTGATAAATGATAAACCATATTATAAGATGAATTAGTAATTAGCTGATTTGTTTTACTAGATGATACAATAGACGATGTTAATTGATTTTGTTGATAACGATAAGCCAAAATTAAACCAATTGGTGAACCCAACATGAAAAAATTTTGTACCTTTTTAATTCATTTCAAATATGTATTGAATGATTGAAGAAAATTAGGATGAAAACGCATAAACAAAATAAATTGTACAATTAACGTGTAAATAGTATTAACAAGGTTGAAAAAAAATTCCCTAATACATATGTTTACATTTATGCAATTATTAATGAATTGATGCATTCTAAACAATTTATTGAAATGTTATGAAAAAACATCATATAATATCAATACATGATATTACTCCATTTTATATAACGGAGAACCAAGAAATAATTGTGTAAACGTTAATGCTTGACGAGGCAAATAAAACAAAACGTAACTATGTAGCATTAAAGCAGATATGAACATACAAAACAAATTTACAGGCACTACTCAAGTAAATAATATTATACTTAATGATCATGATTTATTGAAAATAATTTTAAGGTTAGAAATATGCAGCAATTACGTTGAGATAATGATAATGGTATGGGTAAACTGGGAATTTTATACAGAACTATTGAATATCTTGTAGATATCTTTTCGTTTATTTATTTATTTGAACACATATATATTGGTACAGGAGTGCGCCAAATATATAAGCGCCACACAAAACAATGAGAATTTAAGAAGAAAAAAAGTGAGGAACATAAAAAAATGATAATAATAATAGTAAACAATAATGAAGAGATTGGTGTAAGGGAGTGTAGTAATAATCATAGTCATAATGGGGGAACGGAAAGGTACAATCAGAAGAAATCTTTCAGTTAAGGAAGAAACAACCACTTTTATGAAGAAAGTAAAAGAAGGTTACTGCAGGATCGCCACTGGCTTCTATTCTGAGCCATATCTGATGACGTCTCTAGCCACTGTGTAGCACCATCTGTCGGACCCCAGCCAGGGAGTCGTGAAGGACCAACACAAGCCAGTCTTTTGCAGCTTTCTTTCATACCACGACACCATGTCATACACTGATCACCTCTCCGCTTTTTCCAACAAGTCCCAGAGTCGGCAAATAATGCACGACGTGGAATTCTCTGGGACGACATTCGTAGAACATGTCCAAGCCACCGAAGTCGGTGTTTCAAGATGGTGACACCGATTGGATTATCGTCTCTGCGCCCGAATACACGATGCCGAACCTCTGCATTACTGACATGGTGTTGCCACTGGATGTCAGCAATTTTTCGGAGACAATGATGATCAAACACAGAGAGTCGTCTAACATCCTCAACTCGGAGAGGCCAGGTTTCACAAGCGTAGAGCAGAACTGCTCTCACCGACGCGTTGTAGATCCGACCTTTTACAGCCAGACTAACATCACGAAGACGCCAAAGGTGGCCCAGATTGGCATAAGCCGCTCTGGCTTTCACTATACGTGCATTGATCTCATCACTCACGCCACCACCAGCACTTATGCAGCTACCTAGATACACGAACTTCTTGACTACTTCCATCTGCTCACCATCCAGGGTGAGTACAGGATTAGAATCCTGCCAGTCTTGTAGAAATACTTTGCACTTCGAAGGTGCAAAGCAAATACCGTACCTACGGACACTGATTGCCAACTGATTAAGCGCGAATTGCATGTCTTGGGCATTATAGCACAGTAAGACAATATCATCCGCATACTCAAGGTCGAGAAGTCTTTCTCCAGGCAACAGATCCACACCGCCATTACTTACATCCAACAGAGCTGTTTACAGAATGTCATCGATGACAAAGTTGAAGAGGAATGGTGAGATTGGGCAACCCCGCCTAACCCCATTGTTCGAATGGAACAATGGAGAAAGGTGGTTGTATGCCCTCACTCTGCCTGAGGTTTTTGTTTATAGGGCTTTTAGGATGTTAATAAACTTCTCAGGCACACCCTTCTCCAATAGACAATCCCAGAGAACAGTCCTATCCAACGAATCGAAGGCAGCCCTGATGTCAAGAAAAACTACGATTGTTGGCCTTTGATAAGTATGGCGGTGTTCTAACATTTGGCAGAGGGTGAAGATATGATCAATACATCCTCAACCAGAACGAAAACCAGCCTGCTACTCGTGAGTCAATCTTTCTCGAGTTTTGAACAACCTACGAAGTATGACGGAAGCCAATAGCTTGGACGCAATCGGAAGTAAACTTATCCCCCGATAGTTGTTACAGGAACGACGTGAACCCTTTTAAAAGATAGGGACAACTATCGACTCATTCCATGACGTTGATACACATTCTAGCTCCCACACCTTTGTAAACAACGTCGTCAGTTCCTTAGTCAGAAAGTCACCACCATCTTTAATAAGAGCCGGAGGTAGGTCATCTGGGCCAGGTGATTTATAGCGCTTCAAGAGTTGGAGTTCCTTGCGGACTTCCTCCTCATTTGGTGGATCAGTCGTCACCTGCCATGGAGGCCAGGACAGTCTGACCGATGTTGCCGAAGCAGCAGGCCAGTTGAACTGTCCTTCAAAAAAATTCTGCCCATCGTCCAAGACGTCGATGGATGTTAGTGATTGGCATCCCGTCATCCTCACAGATTGTTTCACTCACACCAGACTTCTTGCTGCCATTGGTTCGGATGAGTTGGAAGAGCTTCCGGTAATTACCAGATGCAGCTGCTGCTTCCAGCTTATTAGCACGCTCCGACCACCAGGCTTCTCGGTCCGTACGCAAGCTTTGCCCGATTTCGCTACCTAACAACCTTCGTTTGTGGTCAAACTCACGGTTACTCGGAGTAGACCGACGGGCTTCAATGAGTTGTAAGGAGCTTGAAGAAACCCAGTGCATATAAGCGGGACGTTTCGCAAACCCACAACTGACTTTACTCGCCATTTTCATGGCGTCATGCAATTGCAACCAATGCTCATCTATGCTTTTCGGTGGAATGGTAGCTAGCCTAGAAGCTAGCTCGGTTTGATACTTACTAGCAACAGAAGTTGCTACCAACTTGCTAACATCAATCCATTGGTGGCGGTCACTTCGTTGGCCACTGAAAAGTAAGGCAAGATTGGCGCAGACCAAGGCGTGGTCACAGTCCAGATAGGTACTCCAAAAGGAGCGGCAGTCTTGTACACAACCACGACAGCGGTAGCTGATCGTGATGTGATCAATCTGAGTCCAGGCTTGAGATGCAGAGGGAGAACACCAGGTGGCACATCGGCGATGACTGTGCCGAAAGTTAGTGCTAGCCAGAAACAGGTTGTGGTCTGTGTACAGTTGCAGTAGACGGTCCCCGTTATCTGTCCTGCGACCAACAAGTCCCCATGGGCCACGTAAACGACTCTCTTCTGTGTCTAGACGCCCAACCTGAGCATTCAAGTCTCCGTCAAGTACTACAATATCTGTCGAACGCACTTTCTGGAGAAGAACGGATAACTGGTGGTAAAACTCATCCGGGCTGCAATCTGTCGGGGCATAGGCGGAGATGACGAAAAGACATCGTTTCTCACACCGATTTCTTCTCACTTTGATGGAACTCTCTAATCTAACAGCACATAACCGACTGTTAATGGGGATCCAATCGATTAGTGCTGCCTCAGCTCTAGCGCTTAGTGCGACACCAACGCCAGCAAGACCAGACGAAGATGCCACAGGATCCCCGATTAAGCGCACGTAAAACAAGCTTTTTGAAGCGACAAATGGAGATCGAATTTGTAGTGCTTCACCGGAGTCTTGAATACGGGTCTCGGATAGACAACAAACGTCGATAGTAAGACTTTCCAAAGACATAGCCAGCCCTATCTGTTGTCCGACCTGCATAAATGTGCGAACGTTGAAGGCAGCCAGTTTGAATGGTGCACGTGGTTTCAGAAAAACTGCTTTAGTTCTCGTATTCGGTGGTGACATACAATTTTCAACCGGACAGTGACTCGAGAACGTTTAGATAGTCAAATTTCCACCATAGACAAGCTGCTGTATAAGTCGAAAAAAATAAGTATAGATAGAGTAGGAATAAAAGAGGGTGAATAATGATGTAGTAAATAATAATAATAATAATAATAATAATAATAATAATAATAATAATAATAGCAATAATATTTGAATCATTTGATTGTTCGTCGAAGCAAGAGAATTAGTTTCCATGATCATAGACAGTTCAGTTCACTAATTGTGTGTGAGCTGTGATACTGCCCGGGTGCCCAAACCGAAGCAGGTGGTTTTCTTAGGGGACCACACCCCGAGCCTTTGACTTAATGGTCTAACCCACAAGACAATGGAGCATCGTGAGGAGATGCAGTCCCATGGTAGCCGGTGACAGACGATTGGTTCATACACCATTTGTTCCCACAGGATACTGGAGCCCATGTGCACCATTGATTTGGAATCCGGTTAAAGCGCCGGACATTCGCTTTTCGTCCTCTCATTTTCGTAAACAACAGTAATGCTACGAGAAGAAAATGAGTAGGACTTCCTTGGCAGAGGCTGTATACGCGTGGCCGTGTGAGAGTATTTCGAGAGGGAGGGCGAACCCACCCCGCTCTCGGCCATACCAGGGCATTTGGTGGCGAAGTAATATCGTGTGAAATATCACGTAAAACCATGTAGTAGTGAGCACTCTCGAACCAAACTGAAATAAACCCCAAGATCTTCAAATATTATGGTAAGTAAGGTATATTCAGACTAGATAGTTGTGCGTGTACACAGCTGAAGATATCTAAGGTAGGACAAAACAGCAGTATGTTGATATTCAATAGTTTTTCGAATCATTCTAATTCATAACGAAATCTTCACCCTACATAACATAGAACATGATAGTAACTGGTTTCTTCTTCATGCATTCTGACTTTTAACTACATAAGAAATTATTTCCTCAAATTAAATATAAATTTAAGCATAGTAATTTCAAATGTATTTCAAGTAAAAATCAGATAAAATAAAAATAGTAATAAACTGTTTAGCCAGGATTTTTTGAAAACAATGTCAGTTTTTATGATCTACCTAGAAGTTATCATTTCAACATTCGCATATACATGAACATACGATTAGAGTTAAATACTACTGTTAATGATCAACACATGTTAATAGGCTGTCCTCATAAAGACTATAATATGAAAATTCAATACATTTTGGTGATTTACAATTTTAGTGTGTCACTACTTTCCATTCTATAAACAATAAATAAATAATCATGAATTTCAATATCCATATTAACATTAAAAATATCAATACAATATCGAAAAGAGCCTGGCAGATTTAGGTCAACAAGTAATTAAAACAAACCCTAAAATTAAATAACGTGGTTATCGGTTAACTAACAACATTAAAACAGAAAATTAACCAAGGGAACTGCAAAGACATTGAATGTAAACAGTTCAACTAAATCATTCAACATACGTTAATATATTTAGATATGCATCATACTGATTATCTGAGAGCTAAAAATACTAACTGGATGTTTATACAAAAGACAGGTAATCTGAGATTTCAACCTAAAACTTAGTAGTTGAAAATCGAGTGCCTCAACCTCTAAGTTAACAGATTGCAGAAAAACAATCCAGATTATTTTCGCTTGTTTTACGTTATATGACAAACATTATAAAATGTTTAAAAAACAAATGTACGATAAAATCTGTAAGTCATAAGACATGTATTGAGATAAAAAAAGATTTCCAAGTGCATCACAAATACAATAATTTACCATTTTACAGTTTAAGTTTAAAAAATAATACTCTGTTTCTTTAGAATATCTTAAATTTGACTGTGAACATACTTTCATTAAACATTTACACCATTAACTTTTGAAAATGATATCCAGAAGCTAAATTCAGGTTGAATGGATAAACTGCGTGACTGTACATTCTAGTACTTCGTGGACAAATGTACAGTATATATCTTTGTAAAATCTTGCTTATAAAAGATGCAACTACTATACAAACAATATTGACATTAGGCAGGAAGTTCCATAAAAACAAAAATATAACAATGTGGCTATCATCAATTTTGAATTATATACGATAACAACATTAATTATTATTTATGGCTTTTGATAGCTGGAATTCACGAAACCAGAAGAAATTCATAATTCGCCATTTAAATGAAACAAATAGAAAGAACTGTTAAAAGAATTTTCAAAACTTTAACTACGCATTACCTGGTTTGTAGAGAGTATTCCATTTTTATAATACACACAAACATTAAGGTCAACAAATATTAACTGTGTATATTACAATTATTTCGTGTAAACGCAGCACTTACACAATTCAAAATAAAAGATCGTTGAATAAGTTAATCAAACAATATGATTATAATTATCACTTCTGTTTATAAACAACGCAAGTAAAATTGATCATCACACTCTTTATCTTCCCTTAAACCGTGAGATTAAAATCACTTTACAACTTTCTAAGAACCAATGCTTTCTCCCCGTATCATATTTCTTATATACAACCTTTTTTTAAATAAATTACTACCACTGAAGTAACTGCTTCTATGAATTTGGTGTTTATCTTGTTGAGTTAGTGAGGTATGGCAACTTGGACCGATGAATAAATGTGCTTGGTTCTATGTTGTAGATGACTAGAAAAACGTTTCAATTGAAAATTTTAAATAACTTTGAAATGTTTCGTAAATTCGATAAAAGAAATTTTAATACAATCAAAACAAAAACCACATGATATTCCATTTTTCTAATAAATTGTCTAATGTCAATAACTGTAAAGATCAAATTGCTATTATAAGTTGATTGATTGATGAAGATAAGAATAGTCAAAAGGCAAGTTTACTAACAATGAAAAAGTAATAACAACATACTTGAAAGTCTAAAGAAGACATTCGACTATGTGATTTAGATTCTTCATTTTCAAGGTTGGACAATTCAACGTTTCCTAGACTAGTATTTGATTCAGGCTATAGAAATATATAGAAGAAAACACAATTACAAGTGAACTACATACTGTCAACCGAGAAATACAGTTCAGTTTAAATTAATTATTCATTTACTTGGTTACAATACCAGTTATGAGAAACCTGACCAAATTACTGGGATGTATTTTGGTTTGTAGAATACAATAGTATGTGAAATATACAAGAAATTTCAGCATTAGTTCGTTTTTATATTAGTTCTTTAAACCTTCTTATTGATGTTTAGAACTGCAATTGACCAGTCTCTTATTGGCATCTGTGCATCCTGTGCGGATTGCCTCGATATTGTCTCAAGTCACAAGCATTATAAGAGATGGATGGTGGCTAACAGTGGAATCAAAGACGTGCGTTTCATTTTGTTTGCCACTCGTCAGCTGGATGTACCTGCAACCCAGAGTTGACCTTCACTCCTGCACTAGAACCCAGTACCTTATGCTTCAAACGACATCGTGTTATCAATTTAGCTACTAAGTCCAGATAGCCGTCCTGGATTCCACTGCTTGCTACTATATATCTCTGGTTATAATTGCAGTATTATGTTATAAAACTAAAAATACATTTACTACACAAGCATGCAACTACATGATATGACTGTTTATTTCAGACTCGCATAATATTAACGGATAATATACAAATGTCAACCTAAAGGAACTCCTACTGAAACATACTTCTCATATGCAACTTAATTTTATCAACGAAATTCACAAAAGGACGGAAATACAATGAGGTTACTGTTGAAGCCATATCAGTCAGTTACAATGTATAGAAAATTGATCTCAGTTCAAAAATTATTCATAAATATGACAAACTATGATATATGGAAATTAATCACAATTGATTGATCACTGGGTGGTGATCAATGTCATGCTTGTCTAGTCCTTATTAGTGCAGATCGAATGCTATCGATCATGTTGCAATGTGGCCACCAGTCTAGGTGACTCGACACTGCGGGCACTATGTATTGAGATTTAGATGGTGGTTGACTACCTCCAACCACCATCTAAATATGGAAATTAATGCTGGAGAAGGAATCGAAATCGTCCATTTCGCTTCTCAGCATGCTTTTGACCATACACATTGATGGATCTCAAAAATATGGATATTCTAGACGAATCCCTATCGAGAAAATGACGAATCTTTTTCACATTTAACTTTATCCAAAAAGGTTATTTGGAGAACGCAATCAGTTGAAGAGATAAGTATTTCAAGGAAACGTCTACTGATAACAACCGTAGCTATTTCATTGATAAGAATATAGTGTCTACAGAGTGCACAACTAATAGTACGTAGTTTGGATCATTTTTATAGGAGTTCTTACATTGAAAGAGAATAAGTAACAGACCTATTTACTGAATGCTACGAAAATGCTTTTCATTACTACCCACCATTAACATGGAAAGCATTAAATTTAAACATGTATACAACAGTAAATTTCAGCCTGCTTTTTCAAGAGTCAGACAAGAAGTAGAAGGATATTTTCCCTTGACCATCCAAATGAATAGAACTATTCAATTAAACCTAATGCTCTTGGAGTTTAGATTGTTTTTTAATAGACATTTCTCGAAGTCTTTCAAAAACTTTATTTCTCACTCTTGAAAATATAAATAATTGTTAATTTATGATATAATGAGTGGGCAGTGAATAGAGATAAAATGTCATAGAATTCCGTCTTCACTCAGGCGTGAACTTCTTTTTATTAGATAACACTCCTTTCTTATATTATTTCGTTTAACTCTCTTTGATTTTATCGACTTTGAAATTTCGAATGGTTGTTTCACCAGTAACATGCATTTTTTAATATAGACAAAAAAGAAATAACGTAAACACTTATTTACAGTAAAAAAAAAACGAATTTTACATCCAATTTTTGAATAGCATACAACTTGAGAACATTTTCAGAGAAAATTACTAAATCCCCTTCTGATAAAGCTTCTATTTTTAAACACTGATAAAACTTTATATTTGTGTAACAATGTACAGATTGAAAGATGTTCTTCAAAAATAAACTTCATAGCTAAATTCTTAACGTGCCTGCATGCAGGAATATGAAACAAATAAATTTAGAATTAAAAAAAGTTAGTGAAGTGTTTGAACATTGAACCTAATAGTTAAGAAGCGAGTACAGAGATCACAGAATTGATACTTTTAACAGGTATGCACCACGTATTGGAAAAGTATCATCAAATTACGTGCATATTGATTGATACAGAACACCGGTCTCTAGATAAAAATTTTAACTTAACCAATAATATAAAAATAGAAATATTTAAGTTTACATATAAAAACTATCAAAAATGAATATATGTTTAAATAGGTTCTTAAAAATTGTTCAATTTGAAAATCACTATCACCATCAACAGGCTTTAGTCGCAAAACCATTATTAACCAAGAAGCACTACAGAACTGTTTCACTTAAATCAATTATAATTTTCCAATGGGCGAACACGACACCACTAAGTATCAAAACAAGAATAACCAGGTTACGGACCGAGTATTGCATCATAAGATCACTTGAGTAGATGTATTCGAAGGCCAACGCTTCTAGAATTTCAGTCGATTTACAGTATGACACGATCATCATCCAAAGTTATAAACTTTCTAAAACCGTTTTACATTATCCAGTGTGTAACAATTAGTCACCTTTCATTGATTATTTGTTACCTCATTTACCTCAAAAGCGATTTGCGCGATAAGCCCAGATCCAATTCTTATAATCTGTGTATTTCCATTTTCATTAATTGTTACACAATCCATTTGATTGATTTTCAAGCCTTGAGTTATTTCCGTATTATGCCATTTAACAAGTATGTCATTTCAGCTACTGAAAGTCATCATTGTCGATTTTCCAATATTATATTATCTTTTAAAATGAACTAATCTGTACAAAAAACCATGAGAAAATTAACGAAATACGATGGTCTCACATGATATTCTGTTTCAATTGTCTGTTATTCCCACTTGATTCAAATTCGATAAAGGAACTAATCACATGAAGATAAAAGGATCATCAAACCATACACATGTACGAAAGATGACCATGTCTACCGTTAAAAACAAAAAGCCGGTGTATTTATAAGAAAATATTCCACTATTTCTGAATTACCTATTTGAACAATACTCACCTAGAAAAACTTACTGGGCATAAAGTGACTTCACTGGGGCTGTTTATTAAAGTTGGGGTTTTGATTTGTTTATCCGGCTGTATTAAACTATGAATACCAAATTGTTTACGACGCATTAATCCAATATCTGTCATACTTGTATCATTATTATTCGATACTGACTCATGATTAGTAGAAGGTTTTGTAAAAAGATCATGAGCCAAAATTGAACCAACACTGTCAGCTACTATACAAACTTTGCCAGAAAAGTGAATTCCTTCAGGAGAACGTAAAAACTCAGCATAATGAGAGTTCAAATTAAATGATAATTGTTCCAACATCTGTAGAAAACATATTTAATAGTTGGAAAATATATATAATGTGCTTACAATTTTATGCATATATAAAAGTTTTATTTAAATACAAATAGGAAAACCAAACGGAAAAACATCCACATTTCTAGATAGCGGTACGAACTGATCAATAAGAAATTAACTGGTAAAAAATCAATATTATAGTAGAAGAATAAATGAGCGAAATGTACAGGTATTAAATTCAGCATTATATATAAAATGAGCAAATCTACAATTTATTTGAACTGTAACTTCATGGTCTAGACTATCTGTTCAATACTATCTATTGTTGCTTAGTTTTTAAATATTAGTCAATTTTCTATTCCAAATAGTTAGTTTACAGAACAATAACATCTAGTTTATAAATCTTATAAAATTAAAACAAACTAGAAATCGCTAAGTTTGAAATTATGCTCTGGTAAAGTATTTTCATACTAGCACAAAACGACTGTTCAGTGATTTTCGCTTCTCAATAGATGATAAACAAAAATCGGTCCAAGATGTAGTGTTTCTTAGCGCAAATTCAGTACTGTTAAAACCTTCAACTTCAAAATGTTTACACTTAATAAGTTAGAACCCATTCACGAAACCGACGACAAATACTATATATATATATATATATATATATATATATATATATATATATACAATTGTTAGAACGTTACAAGATAGCATGAAGTTCTTAAATAGAACAAAACAAACTTCCAGTCCTCCTTCATTTTTAATTGGTCAACCTTCCGCCAAGCTATCCAAATCTCCTATCAACCACTTGATTAATAACACTGGTAAATTTAGTTTCAGAAATATGTTTATATTGAATATAAAATTTGGCAAATAAACTAGTTTTTTTCATGTAAATCTACATATACATATGGCTTTTTACATCAATTTGCCAAAATACATAACAGCTTGCTAGAATGTATTACGAACAGACAATTACTTCATGGTTACTTTTCTGCTCTTCAGTAATTTGTATATTTTTTGTACCCTGATAAACTTTTGTTTTGAATTAATACTGCCTGAAGAGTTGAGAGAGTAACAAAAATTTAGAAGCGACAGACAACCAATTCAGTTTGATTTACATGTAATCAAAAGATAAATCAGGATAGTCTACATTCATTACTACTGAAACATTATATAATATATTTCAGTCACAAAAAAAATTAATTGAAACGGAATGGCAAAAAGTATTCTTTCCTGATGGTGAATTTCCTTTAATGTTCAACATTTTCTATATATTGTGTTTAGTACCTAAACATATTATTGACGTCTTGATAACACTAAGAAATATCCGTAATTTTATCAGCTCATTTACATTCCGTAATCAGTAAGAGGTATCAACATAAACATAGGTCATAGAGTTTCTCTCCCGCGTTTACCAACTTTTCAGGGTAGAAAGTTAAGTGATAATGATACCGTACAAAAATGAAGACAGTGTCCTCAACATTGAACACACATTATGTAAAAAGAACAAAATAACACGGTAAAACTGTCGAAGGATGAAGGGATTGAACGTATAAAAAAGAATTGTACAGAAAGTAAATAAACTTATTATTTCAGCTGAAACGATAAAAAGACGTATGTAAATGTTCTGTTTTAATATACCATAGGTTAGAGTTATATTTCAATGTAAGGCAGTACACCAATTACATTGTCAACAATCCAGTCATATCGATAATCAGTTACATAGTACGCTCAGCATTACAGACTTATATGTGGTTATATTACGTTCATTGGAATGTATCTTTACCGTATTGTGATAATAGTTTGGTGGTTTCACCAGTACTTACTAACACTATCCATAGTTCTTGGTCTTATAGATTTACCGAAGCCGTGGCATCAATCCATTCAGATATAGGCTACTGGACCGAGCTGTGTAGGTAAATCAAAACTGCTAGATCCTCTAGACTGTCGTTACTAATGGTTGAAGACTTTAGGTAACACGGCTCATAATCGCTTGGAGTGATACAGGTGTATTCACTAGTTGTCTTCCCTCAGATCATTAGTTCAAAATTATCTTAGAATTTTTATTCCGCAAATTAATACTTTCTTCTCAAATCACGTGATCTATATCTAATATTTTCAATAACCACTGAAACTGTTACTAATTCTATTACTTTGACATTTTTCTTAATTTCATCTCGTTATTGTTATCTGCATATGTGTTTATGTTGCCTATAAAACGCACAATCGCATTCACAAATTGGTTAACAAATATGGGGAATATGTAACATGAAAACACGGGAAAATGAACGACACAACGTTGACAAAAAACTTAAGCAGTATATCGAGTAGCTAACAAGTGGTAACTTATGGTTATTTGTAATTTTATTTAGTATCTGATTTAAAAAAAACCTTTTTGTTAACCGACTGAAGCTCAATTAAGTAGGTTGATAAACCAATACATAATATCGGAATTTTTTAACTTGGCATCAACAAGAATTCCTTGATATGAATCAATACAATTCAAGGTTATACAGGTCAACCTAGAATAAAGCTCATTCTCCATTCACAAGCTTAAATAAGTTCAAGGTCAATACAACTATTTGCCAACATTCTTTTAATTCCATACCTTAACACGGTTGATAAAACCATTCATATTGTAATACAAGAAGTACTCGCAATTAATGAGTCCTGGGTTCGAATCTCGCGGGGTGGGATAGTGGATGCGCACTGCTCAGTCCCACACTAGGAAGAAACGGCCGTTCAGTGCTTCCAGGTTTTTCATGGTGGTCTCGCTTCAAATGATTCATGAACTCAACTATTAAACTAATGACTAGTTCTTTTCGATAATAACTTTACTGTTACATTAAATCAAAAATAATATGAATAAATGATAGCTATTGGTACTGACAGAATTACCCACCGTATCTGTCATTTTCTCTATGATAATGTTATACACATACATACACGGACAAAGAGAGAAAGGTTCTACTTTCTATTCTATCAAACAAAATATAACTTTCTCTCATCAACACTATAAATCAATAACAGTAGATCAAATTAAAGATGAATAAAAGAAAAACCAATTTTTTTTTCAAAAGAAAAAAAAACTAAAGAGTCTATAATATATGAAACAAAGGGGTAAACATAAACTGTATTTTTTTTATTATTTTTGAGTCAATTAAATGCTTTTTGGTAAGTTAAGTCATCTGATTAAATCGATAATATAAACGGTGATTTTTCAAAATCAACTAAAACACGCTGAGAAAAAAATTTTTTATAATCCTAAAAAGTTAGTTTTTTTTATGTTAAAAATATCGCTTTAAAACATATGATAAATTGAAATAGAACATTTGCATGCGTTTTTTATCATTTCCATTGAACTAATAATCTTACTTCATTTTTGTACAATTTATTGGTATATGTTAAATTCCTTTGTTATTTGACGGTTTTATTTTGTTGCTATAGTTCAATCTTTTTACGTAAGGTGTATTAGGTCTGTAAATGTTTAATTGGTGAGATTATAATTTATGGGCGACCTTTGAGTGATGCTAAAGTGACCTTGAGAATGTCCACCTACTAACTGGGACTAAATGAGGGCTATAAATCAGTGTGAAGAATTAGGATTGTGATTTATAGTTGATGGTTTAAGTTAGGAATTCGATTTATGGTTTATATCGCAAACTGACATTAGCTACTTAGTCAAATGGGTGGATGAATTTCGCACCAATATTTAAAATCTGATACCCAACTGCGTCACAAGACAACCCCTCACATGGAATCATCAAGGCCAAAGGAAAACAAGAAGACCAAAGAACACATTACGCCGGGAAACGGAGATAGACATGAGAAAAATGAACAAGAATTGGATGGAACTAGAAAAGAAGGCCCAGGACAGAGTGGATTGGATAATGCTGGTCGGCGGCCTATGTTCCATGAGGGGTATCAGGCGTAAGTAAGTAATACTAAATCTGATTGGCTCGTCCATAAATTATAGTCCAGCCGTTTAATTTTATTTATTCATTTCATAGACATAAATTTTTGTTCAAGACTAATTTAATAATTTAAATACAAGTTATTAGACATAAATAGAACGTCACCTTTATTCTAGATCTTAATTACTAGTGGTTACTATCTACATTGTTAACCAACTGGTAAAAACTTTGATTGTATCAAGACATGCATTCAAGGATGTTATACGTTCAAAAAAGACAGAATGATTAATTCAGTCTTGAAAATAAACATGATAGGGGATTAAGAATGATTACAAATAGTGAAGTAAAGATTTAGGTTAGTACTAAGGCAGATCAATGATTATATAAATAAACAGAGAACTTACAGGGAAAAAATGACTTAAAATAATATAGCAATATTCGATTGAATAGTTGGCTAACATAAGCGATACAGTATAAGACTCATTTGTTAACACAGTTACTAATGCCCGAAAATTTGCCTAACCAAAATCTAATCAAACATCTGAAGTGTTTTATAGACTAATACCAGAGTGAAAAGTAAAGATGGAAAGAATCTCAATAACACCAAGTAATAATAATGTGTTTTACACCAATTAGTTGTCGAAAATAATCAAATAAGCATGTTGGACATAAAGTCCATCCTTATAAAGTGTTGAAGAAATTGTTAAGTGGTTAGAGGCAGTTGACAGTATACCCTTGGCCTGGGGTTTCGTGGTAGTTAATACTCATTAGCAAAGCGTACCTGTTAGCTTTGAGAACTGGTGCTTCTTGTGGGATTTCAATGTTGTCGACTAACTTCAACCACATAACATTTGAACATAGTACAGGCGATGTTGTGTCACTTAGACTAGTGGCAGCTGCAGCTTGGTCATTAAAACTTAATCAGTATTAAAAGATTAAATTAAAATGACACTGATCACTACTCCTCAGTAATAAATCAATTGTACATTCAATATCTACACTAAGATCGTAATCTTTTCTATTTTACCATCAATAAAAGCAGACAGTGTACAAGAAGTGTTAATTTAATTTCTGAACAATTTGAATAGAAATTAAGTCGTTTCAATTGTAAACATTTAAATAATCATAAACAAAATTTCACAATGGAAACAATCTGTACAAATATTATTTGTATTTGTGTGTGTGCATAATTTAAACAAGGTTTTCACTTAAGAAACAGATAACAGAAGGTTTATAAAAATATTCAGCAATTTACATTTATTCTATTGTATCACAATTTCATGTACATTTTATACTGCCATGATCATTTGAAATTTAACTTAAGTAAATCAGCGCACGAAATATCTTAGGTAGTGATTAAAACAATGAACATATATATTTACATGTATATAATACATGAAAAATATGCGAATGATTAAAAAGAAAAAAAACCCAAACAATAAGCCAATGGTTTCATCATAATGGTCAGACGTAAGAAACGGAAAAAAACATCAGAAACTAAAGAAGAAAGAAAAAACAAAGAATTTTTATCGGATGTAATAAGTAATGTTATGAAAATTTACAACCTTTGAAATGTTAACTTAATTTTTATAACACAATAGTACTTGACCATCAATGTTTATCTGTCTTCTTATGAAATTTAATTTAACAATACAAATGCATAAAACAACTGAATGATACTTGCTAAATAATGCTGTTATCAATATAGACAGATGAAAAGGTGAACAATGTAGATAACGAGTGAACATGTAAGATTTATTACCAAGAGTAATTTCCACTTATATATTATTTAGTAAAGGCAGGAACAATAACAATGAGCAAGTAGTTAACGTCAAATACTGTGCGACTTACTATTCCACTGTGGATAAGTTAGACTAAATGATTGTAAGTACACAGTACAGACCTATAGAAATTTGATCATTAATAATTTCAACCCATCAATGAAACAAAAAGTCGGTCTGTCAGAGAAGATATAGGACGTGGCATGAATATGATTACAGTTTCAAAGTAGGGCAGATAAATGATTATATTAATAAACAGAGAACTTACAGGAAAAAAATGACTTAAAATAATATAGCAATATTCGATTGAATAGTTAGCTAACATAAGCGATTGGAATTGCTTGAGGTAATATTGATGTACAGGGGCGAAAGTAATCAGAATAAACTAACGTATAAAAATAAGGGTTATTGATCTAAACAGTGTGGTGAATTTGGGATATCCTGCATGAAGTCAGTCAGATAACAGAAAAAACAGTTTATATTTGCATTGCACTACATTCTTCTATCATCTCGTCCTCATCACATCATTTTAGTCCTATATTCTAAATACATGCTTTCTTACGTTTTTATGTTTACAAAGTGAAGCCAATTAAATTGACATAATATCCTGTTGGGCTTCATCTTATATCAGCGGATTATTGTTTTTTCTTCTTCAATTATTCAGTCAAGTTAGAAACAATTTTTCAATAATGTGTATCAATTTATTTAGCCGTCTGAATAATTTTGATTATTGTTAGCATCATATTGGACGAATAGTCTGAATTTTACTAATAACAACAAACGCAACTTGAAATTTTAAATATTCTTAATGATTGATACACACCAGTCAAGAAAGCATTTCGTACGAAATGAGCGCTAAATTACAAATTATATAAAATGGAGTTAAGTACCACCTCATCGTTTTTTTACAATAAAAAAAATATTCAAACATAATCGTGGGATAGTTTCAACCAGGCTATTCACGCTAGAATTTTGATCTTATTTCCAAAATTATTTCTCTCTTATAAAGTTAAACATATGACAGAAGATAACAAATATGTACATAATATGAAAGTAGAGCTTTGTGGGGTTGACGTTTAGCATAGAAAAAAACAAATAATAGGTTTATTACATAATAGAAACTGGAAAACGATGTAACATGAATTCGTATGAGTCGATTGTTTGAAGCTTCTCAATGATGTTTAAGATTGTAATCGATCAGTCTCTTTTGACATATGTGCATCCTGTGAGAATTGTCCCGATATTGCTACTAAGAAACTGATTAAATATAGTCCTAAACATCAGTGGGAAGTTTAAAACAACCAATAAAAATGAATTAAAATCCACTCTATTGGACAAATCAGTGACTACCTGAACTCAGTAGCTCAGTGAATAACTCGATAGTGTTCGGAGTGAACGATACTCGGTAACGGTCTTAGAGTGAACATCACCTCTGGAATGTATGTACATCCGGTTGACGAGTCACAAATAGGTTGAGACGTGAGTCTTGAATTCCACTGCTAACCACTATCCATTTCTGCTTAAGATGCAATATCAAGGTGTCAATAAACAGGAATGTTTGTAAATTATACAAATTTCAACAGATGAATATTATTTTGTTTCTTTTCTTAAAAATAAATATAAGTTAATCACTTTTTATGTCATGTAATATACTTAAAAACATACAGTTGAAATTTGTACCTACAACTAATGCTTGAGATGATTATAGTTCACAAATACGAAGTATTTTCGAGAAAAATTAGTATCATTCATTGTAAAATGACTGAAAAAGTTTAGGTGACACACTTCAATAAAACTATCTGTTAAATCTGCGCCACCCCCAATGTAAGTTTCGACTATGTAGGGTTTGTGGTCTTATTGACCATACTTAACAATCGGGAAACCACTGCAATTCCCATAAGACGAAGTGAGAAAATAAAAGACTATTGGGATGAAAATTTATTGACTCCTCAAAAACACTTCTCCAACCAAGTCCCTAAGTCAGGTCCGAATACACAGTTACTAGGCTGAGATACAATTATTTATATACTAATTTTTACGCACCTTATAAAAACATATATAGGATTGCTGTGAAAACATACACTAATATAGTTTATTTGAAATGATATAGGGGATACAATTGTCATACTGAACAAGTCAGTCAGTCACTTTTTTATTCCGTCATATCACTATCTGGTTTCGACGTTTAGTTCTAATTGGATTATCTGGAGATCAAACATACTGGAGACTAACGTAGTAGGTGCAGACTGTGAATGGAATCGTTTACTGGATGCACGTCATGGTTGATCAAGTAACCACTAACACAGTCTACTGTATTTGAAGGGGCTGTCTTAGCTAAGATCGCAACGGCAATCTTAAATTACTAAGTAGTTAAAGAAAAAAACAATCTTGGCGATTGAAATATTAAACTAACAACTCCGTTTATATCTTTATTATGGGTTTGAACAATACTAAAGTCAACATTTAGGACTGAATCATAATCAAGCATTATTGACATATTTGCATTGGACAACAAATGTATCAATATCCCTATTATGTCACAAGGTTTTTACAATTGATAAATTGTGACTTGCAGTGGAATGCAAGACGCACATCTTACGCCATTGCGAACTCCTCAGTTGAATGTGCTTGCGTCCCGATGTTGATGTTCACACTGGGATAAAACCCAATATCTTCTGCTTTAGATGTCCAACGCGTTACATATTATGCTCCAATGACAATAAATTTCTAAGATGAACCTATTTATTCACTAAAACATATACATTTGACGTGTCTTGGCATAATTAATAAACTTGGTTCAGACCAACTGTGTAATGGTATGCTTTCTTGATTACCCAACAAATTATCGTGTTGGGAAAAGAACAGTGGGAATTTTCCGACTGTAGATGAAGAAAACCAGCAAGTACCATGGAAAAAAGATATATATACAACATTAAATCACAAATAAGAGGTTAAAATCATACTTACTCGCGAATATCCAGATGAATTAATCAAAAATAAAGGAATACTCCCCAAAGGCATTAAATCACGTAGCAATTGAGTTTCAATTGGCCTAGTAGGATCTGGTGAAGCTTTCAATCTTACGAAGAAATAAATAAACAAAAAAAGCCAACCAAATTAATTATAGAAATAAATAGTCAGTTGCATTGACAATATTTAGTGTCCTGTTTTAATTGAACTACAGAAAATAAAGAAAAAATAACGGAAGAAAAAGACAAACTCACTTCGAGAATAATCGGAATATATCGCCGATTTCTGTAGGGCATGGTACAAGTTTTACAGCTATTCGATTATGTAATGTTGGATAGTGATTAGCTGTTACTGTTTCGATTGTTTTTCGAAAAGTTAAAATATCGGAACGTTTTGTAGTTAAATCGTAAGTTGAATCAAGTATACAACCTGAATAGATTTTTTAAAAAGAAAACACAGTAAAAAGAAAGGACGTAAGATGTGTTGTTTGGAAAAGTTTTCCTTTCAATCCGATAGTGTCAAAAAAATATAGATGATAGATACTATAAGCAAGGACTTATATGCAATGCAAATGTTTCACTATTAGTGAGTGTTTCATAAATAAAATATGCAGGAAGTAAACGGTAACTACAATACATTTATACTAGTGAAACAATTAAGTGGTCGAAAACTAGATTGTACCAAAATATAATATTGAATAAAGCCATTAATAATAATAATAATAATAATAACGTAATATAAATGAGTAAACTATGAGATTTATACATAGCGTAATGATGAATGCATAATTTATTTTGACATGGTGAGGGCCTGTAGCTCAACAGAACAATTTTATCGAAGTTGCGTTCTTTCAGTTGGGTGGTCTTACCTTGAGGTTTTCATGAACTAGACAGTAGCATCACAAAATACAGAAAGAAGTTTAGTCACGAAACAAACACAACTGATACTTATGAACTTTAAAGAGACGAGCTTTGGCAAAAGTCTTAAAGTTTGATCAGTTGTATTACAATAGTTGATAACGGCGAAATATTAGTTAAATGAACTTCCGTCTTCTGTGGTTTTATGGGTAAAGTCAGTTCCTGACGTAAATTACATATCGAACAACCTCTGTAATTCTCTTACAGTAAGTAGACTTGATCACGTTATTTTTTAAAAAAAAGAAACACTTACCACCATGAATCACTAATATAAGGACTAGTTTACCACAATTTTGTTGAATACTAGAGACAGGTTTTTGGTTAAAGCCTATTCACGAGAAAAGTAAAAGGGGAAGAAAATATATAAACTAATCATTCTGTTTCATCGAAAAGTTTAATTTTACTCAAACTACATACTTCTCACAATCAATTTCGTAATCAAACTATTCTATAATGCTTCTCGTACAATTTAACTTAACAAAAAAAATGTGATATGAATGATAAACTTGTAATTTGTTACAATGAAGTACAGAGTGAAACACCACCATCTCATCTCAACATAGTGCACGCGATTTCGAGTGTCCTAGACTAGTGGTAACATTGCAACTTGGTCGACAGAATTCAATCTGCACTAAAGAGTACCTGACACACTTGACGTTGATCATACTCCAGTGGTCAATCAATTATAAAGAATATTAACTTACTTAAATAGGAAACTCTCATTAACAATTTCTTGCTATTTGACTCAAAAACATTAAAAATATGAAACATGGTTTCCTGGCTGATTGCACCTTTGTTGACATTACTTAAGTTTGATTTTTAAAAAGTAGCTTTTGCAGTAATGACCATCAACTATAGAGGTAAACTGAACAGGTATGTACTAAATAAAATGATTCACTATCTGCCACATGAATGTACATAAACTACCGAGACTAATTTCCAACCAGTCTATGCGTCCTATGTATTATGAAACCATGATTTTAAAAATGTAGCTTACAAGACTTTATTCCTGGAATATCAAAACTCTGAAAATTTGACGCAAGAGGGGTAGCATAATCAGTATTCCCAGTAAGATCGCTACAACATGTAACAAATGACCTAGCATCATCATCGGATTCTGTAAAACAAAAGATAATATAGAAACTTTATTATTGGTAGTTTAAAACATATCTAACACAAAACAATTCAATGACAATGATAATCATTGTACAATCACGAAGAATTTTCAAGTTATTTTTTGTTTTCGTAAGCTGATATCAGTTAAAGAACTTCGTCAAAGTAAACAGTACTACAGGACTGCTTCATTATACCTAAAAAAGATTTAGGAATTTCAAAACCTCAGCTCTACATTATAATGGACACGAAACAGAAATGATTATGTTAGAATACAAGAATTAAGACTTGCGACGACAGAATATACGCGATCTACCCAAATAATCTCCTTGCATCCCAGCTGGAAATACTTTTGTTCTCTTTCTAGTTAACTTTACAGATTATAAATTACTAGTTTAAATCTAAAAAATTATCATCATTGAAATGACTTAGTTTTCCGAAGGACAGCTGTTTGTAACGGAAGTCCCAAAAACTCGGAGCATTTTAGCAAACTTTAAAACCATTGATATCTCTAATAAATTTCCAAAGCGTACTGAGTTCATTTGAAAAATGAAATGCGTACCCCCCCCCCCTAGAAAAAATATTTCGAACAATCTGACCACATGTTTATTTATCAAGATACTTAGATACTGTCCAAAATAAGGTTGAATTAAATATAATGTGGAAGTAATAATATGTGATAGGTAAAAATATAACACACACAGAGATGACAAACTGAAAAAAATAATCAATCATCACACTGTCTGAGGCATTAAAGTGGATTAAAGATTAGCAAAACAAATTAAAGGTAAGAAAAAATTGTTTCCACTCATAAAACGGAAGTTTGAATTTTTTTGATGACCGAGGCTTTCACAAACTTTACAAAGCTGTTTTACGGTCAGTCCTATTGTAGTAAAGAAACAATAAGGTACGCAAAGCCAAATTATTGCTTAATACAAAATTAGAATGCTTTTACAAAATATGAAAACCATACATTAAATACATTATTCGCATATCTTCCATCAGTTTTCCTTTACATGCTCTATGATTTTTTCAGTTCTGTCTACTACAATTACTTTCTATTCTCTTAAATTGAATCGTCTTAATCTTCTGTTGGAATGCATTCCCCTTTCGATTGGTGCTACATACTACATATATCCGTCAACGTAAGTAGAATACACCACGCTATAACCTGTTTAATTGATATTTTTTCTATTGATGAGTATAATCTTCTGCTCTACTTATTTATCAGAATAAATAACACCAATGAATTCCTAAGTCACTTAAGCACACACTTCAATAGATATGACTGCATTGTTCGGAAACTGCTCTCAATGTTTGTATTCAAACAAACGTGAATCGGTGGAAGTAGTGAGAAGTGACTTAATAATATATGCAATTTCGAGACCTATGTGGAATAAGGAGGTTAGTTTTTTAATGATAAGCGGTTTTGCAGCAATAATAATTGACATTAAAACAGTCTTTAAATCTTTGAATAAAAATTTTCGGTCTTCGAAACAAGTTTCCTAAACCTTGAATATATCTTCTTAATCATTAATCCATTCTAAGGCTTGAATGGTGTGATAGTTTCTGATCCCTTTTATGTTATATCATTTTTCTATTATCTTTTAAATCATCTTTCAGTGTTTTATTTAGAATACTTAAATGCTAAAATACGAACTCATTTCAAATAGTTTACCCAGCACGTGCATTGAATACAGTGAACAGCAAAGTATAGACTTGTATCAATAATAAATGTTTTGAACAATCAAGTTGTCATATCCTAGAGTAAACGGTATGGATATACGATAAAGTAACACATACCTGCACACGGTGCTGTAAAAGGTTCAAAATCATCAAGTTCAAAATTATTCGCCTCTAATTTCTTAAAATCAGCCCATAAATTTTGTTCTGAAAAAGAAACAAGATAATAGTAATTACTACTATTATTACTGCTTTAATAGAAAATTGAGAAACTTTCCAATTTTGATATTACTGTTTCACTCAAATAAAATATCTTTTTGAAGTTGGTAACAAAAACAAATATTGATATTGTTAACTATGAAAAAAAATGAAAAGATTAAATGACGTGTTTAGAAACAACAAAATCTATTAACATTAGCCTCAATTTTTCAACGACATCTATTTTATTCTTAATGATACATATATAAATCTTTTCATTTGTAATTTTATGAATGATAATAGTACCGAGAATAAATATATGTATAAATTATGAGGTAATGATGAGTATGTACCAAATATAAAATGACTGAAATCAATTTTCCATTAGATAATAAATTCTAATTACTAAATAAATTAAAAGATATCACGAAGAAAATAACGATTAACATTATATTATCTAAAACGTTGAATTATGATCACTGATATATATATATATATATATATATATATATATATATATATATATATATATATATATATATATATATATAAGTAAAACAATACTAATAATTAAATTATTTATCGTTGAAATCAATTATCAGGATAACATAAATAGGACGAATTCAGATTTATGAGATTGTTTCTTTTTATTGGATTTATGGTCAAAATTATCATATAACAATAAAAGTGAGAAGACTCAAAAACAATATGTTATCAGCAAATGATTTATTTTTGCCTGAGTAGATGGTAAATTTAATAATAATAATAATAATAATAATAATAATAATAATAATAATGGCTAGATTGCAATTATATTTGAACTAGTATTTGGAAACCAGTTATTCTATTGCTTTCAATCACCATCTAATATGAATGGATTTGTTTAATAATTAGTGTTATGTTAAATAATCGAATTAACTTTTCACAAGTTTCAGTTAGATTATACAGTTCCATATAAATACTGTGTAGAAAAGGTTACTATTGAAATAAAGATCGATTGTACTTTTATGAAATTATCACTTTAAAAAAATCTACCTTAAGTGAAATGAAATAGTATGATTCTATTTCTTATACAGATTTTTCCAAAACATTATAAAACCATGATTATCACCGAGAATTAGACTGAAAATAAACTATTTCCAGAATTGCTTGTTCCAATATGATAACAACGATTTGGTTAACAAAAATCAGCATTAACTGAATAGTTATGCCCTTCGATTCTGAATATCTTTCATCTATAAAATCTTGCTTGATTAAATCATCGCAAGGCTTGAGTTGGTATGATTTTTTAGATTGGAACTACCTTATAGTCTTCAGTAAAATCAATAGTATCCAATTCATATGAAATAAGACCTATTAAACACAGTGAATGTTCGAGTAAAAATGTGCATTATACAGAATGATGAATACATTGTCAATGAACACATAAAATTTTATCTAAAAAGCATACAATTAAATTTCAAACCAGATAAAAAAGGCTGTTATAAATTCCAGCAAAAAGAAACAATGTAGCACAGTTTTCCATAAAATATACACGTGTCTAATGTTATTTTAAGGAAGAAAAAAGGAAGCAAAACAGTTAATCCTTTTTCCCGTTAGTCAAAATAATTATACAATACATTTGGAAACATACAGTATTATTTATACAGATTTATATCTATTAGCATGACGTTTAACTAGCTTTTAAATAGCAGTTAGAATAAAGACGCATACGTGTATGCACAAGACGTGAATTATAACAACGAGATAAATAATCACACCACAACAAAAAATAAAAAGTACAAATACAAATTCAGTATTAAAAAATAAACTAAAATGTTACTAGCCAAATTAATTAGGAACAATTCAATTTTTTTAGAAAAGTACGTAAACCGTTGATATGACAGCGTTAATACGAAAACACTTCAGTGAATAATTCGACTGTTGTGTGCATTTCAAAGATCTACTCTTCGATGGAAAGAGTGGTTCACTTAGTAAGAAAGTAAAACTGACAAAATGCGAAGAATTAGATAAATTAAATATATTTCTTGAGAAATACATCTGAATTTGACATTTCAGTAGAAAAAACAAAGGATTGTTTTTATAAACTGTAAATTGGGAATGAAGTCATATTCAGTCATAGATATGTATCATTTAGGCTTAAAAATAAATCAGTGGTAATCTAATATGAATAAGTATGTTAAAAGAACACTGAAAATATGAAACAAGTTAGTAAATTGAGATTTAAAGTGAGATGCCAACATCTTGGTAGTGGAGAGAAAAAAACAAAAAAATAAATATAGAGAATCAAATAAAATACCCATACTGGTAATTGATGACATAACTATAAGACCAACAATAGAAAGATTTCTCACTTCAATTTACAAAATCTGTGTCGTAATACGATTATAGAAAATAAATAATGACACTAAATGGTACATGAAATATTAAAAGATAAAGTCACTGACCAAGTTTAAGTGCTCAAAAAAAATTGATTTAAAAAGTGTGTAGGTTTATTATTTGTAATGTACATTACAAAGAACAATTAGATAGCATATAACCACTAGATATAACATTAGATTTTACGTTCTTCTGTATGAGAATAGCCTCCTACTCAGTAAGTTAAAAACACATTGAACTTAATAATTAGAAATGACAATAAACTGTGCACACAGATTATCGGCAAGAACTATTTCAATAACAATATACAAATATTGCGCACTGTTTATAGAAAGATTAAGTAGGGTATCAAGATCAAGTTACTGTAATATCAAAATAACACGAAATTTGAACGAAAGCGGATTATGTTCATACATATCAATCAGAGAGTGATACAACTTTATGGTACTTAACTACTGTAGAAACTTTTAAAAAAAGTTAATTCATCAGTTAAGCATAAAATTTGCTTTAGAGTACTTTTATGAACAAGATAACAAGGTACGGTGTACACAAATAGTACAAAATCAACGAATACATACAGAATTTTATTTGGAAACTGAGTGGATCATACAGAACTTACTAGTTATTTTTGTGATAACCAGATTACAATGTCAATCGGAATATTGTTAAGATGAGAACTTAAAACCATCAAATGATTCTTTGGAAAAAACTATCCGTAGACATAGAAAATAATGTATGGATATCGAGTAAAATATTTCTGTAGCAGTAGTTAATCAATCAGTCAAATGCAACATAGAATCTGGCACATGTGTACATTGGTTCAAGTTGCCATAACCTAATAGCACAACGAGATGAAATTGTCAAGGCAAATTACACAGTAGTAGAGGTAGTAAAACAATATTCAATAAACGACTATATCATACACTGATATTGAAAGTTGATTACACACACAAATATATATATATATATATAACAAACTTAAATTATAAACAACATAAACCGTCATAACTATCTAGGAAAGCATAGAGATTAGCAAAATAACAGTTAAATTATAGATACCATGGATAAATACACACAAAAATACCGTAACTTCTATTTCAAATACTTTACACACAACAAAATAGAACATTTTATGTTAACTCTTAAAATATTTCACATTGAAGCTATTCAAACGTAAACAATAACACGTATAAATCAAAAAAAATTTTTTTGAGTTGAGCCGCATTATATTAGTTATATTTATGATGTAATAACAAATAAATAGTGAAAAATAGAAAGATAAGTACAAAGTATATTATAATAGTAGTATTTGAAGAATTTCATGCTAAAATTGTAGTAAGGAAAACAATTAGAAAAAAAAAAGAAATGAATAACTGAAGATAATCAATTATCTAACTAAGTACTACACTACACTTAACTTGAGAAAGTAATAAAGATGAATTAGGTAAAAAAAAATAAAGTGAAAACAAGGAAAAATTAGTAGTAAAATAAATTTATCAAAATATTTCAACTTAGTGTATAATTTTTTAGAATGTATGCCTCGGTTCTATTTGCTACCATTCTTACTACTTTTTTAAATGAACTAAATTTCATATTCCTATTAGTTAACAAGATATATCCACTAATGAAATACAGATTTGTATAAATGAATAAATGAGGACACGTAAAAGATCAAAATAAGGATTAAATTACACTGAAGTTTGTTTTAATATACCTATTTATTCATTAATATTATTGATCTGCAGGGGTTTTCTGATACAGATTATTTCTACATATTTAACTAACTTTACCACCAACAATACTTGAAATATGATTCCTCAGAAATGATTGTAGATAAAAACAGCGACAATAGTATAAAGAGAGTGATAACACCTACAGATACATATATATACATACATAAAAAAGAGGAAAACACATTATACATAATATCTATTCAGATGACGTAATTTTAACTGGACGAGTAGCATTTAGACAAATCCGCACCTGCAATATCAGTTGAATTAACTGGAAGATGGAATTTTTCTGATGTCGCTGTGCTTGATTTGGATTCACATTTCTAATGAAATTTAAACAAAAAAAAGCAGGAGTACAAAACCATGAAAGCGTAAAATCAATACTTTTGTAGAGAAAAAACGATTTCAGATATACAAAACAATTTAAAAGGCTAAAATAAAGTGAAGAATGTAGAATAAATATAGTTGAAAGTATGTGATTATTTTCATCTCAGTCATAGTCAATCATAAACAATTTATAGGCTGGCTTATATATGATACGACTCAATTTAAATTACATATCACTATAAAAGGAACATTTTTATATTTCGTAAACGGTAAGAGCTAACATGAACACTTTACTTAAACAACTTCAAGAAAAATAGATCACAATTGAGCCATGTTGGTAGGTTTAGACTACCTGGTTGGGGACCGCGCGATGATAGCAACTGATGGTTAGAGACCTTGAATGAAATGGCTCAAAATCGTTTGCAATGGCGCAGATGCATCCACTCTTTGTGTTCTCCCAAATTCTAATCTTCTGAATTCTTCATGTCCCTTTTTTCCTCTTTCCAAATTTATTTCACTGTATTATACTCCTTGAATAACATCTTCAAACCCTAACCTTTCTGATTACTGCTTATACTCTTACTACCTCTACCTCTATGAGATTTGAATCGACAACTGCATCTCCGTGCTAATGTGGTGTGGCAACTCGAACTGATGTATGTACGTAAGAAGTTTTACGTTGTTACTGACTGACTGACTGAGACCATAACTGTATACTTAGTGATTAGAAATTATATAGGTTGACAAAAATATTAATTTATGAGTTGCGTAATTGATGGAAGTATAAATCGGGATACGTTTCAACACATAACATCATCAATTGAAAACTAACATGAAACTATAAATTTCCGAGAAAGGTATCTCATAAAGTATATACTCTCTTGTACAGTATATATATTCACAATATTTGAGAATACAGCTCTAACATAACAACTGGAGTAGTAACCCTGATCAGTGGTTGGAAATCTCAAACGACATGATTCAAAACTGATGTGTAGATCCGTTCGCTTCTTTCCATCTACCCATAAGTATTGAATTATAATTTTACTTCATGGTCTTTAATTCTGCAAACCAATTCATTCACCTTGAACCACATTCTTCCTGTTTAGTTTTTTTTATTTTCATAGAAGCAACTACTATTATCAGCTCAATCTTATTTACTCTGTCTCACTTGTGTTGACACGATTTGGCAACTTGAGTCGAATATTTGTCCCAGGTTGCATGTTTGAGAATGATATAGTAGCCATATCTTATCAGTTTGAGTAAACTGCTTAAAAATGCCACAAAACTAATTTTATAGTCTGTGTATGCATGTAGCTCCCAAAATTTGTGTAAAAACCCACCAGGCTATCGTTTTTGCAAAGAACAAGAGATTAATTTTATTTTGGAATGCGCCAAACGATGCAATCAATAAAATTTCGTGTTTAACATTCAACAGATCTGGATAAGATTCCTAATTAACACTTTTTAGATACGATTTGACATATCCATGGCTTTTAGTGTAATTATTCAGTAAACTAAACTTTTGTCAGAAAACTTCCATAATCTTATACAAAAATTATTAGTGAATTAAACCTAGAGTATTTACTGTGTAGCAGACATACTTTGGATACCTTGAAACGTATGAGTAAACTCGTGAAAAATGTATACTTGTGTTGTTTGTGTGCAAATTTAGTGGCGATATACTTCCATCTTTGTTTGAACACTAAGAGGTTGTTTATGTCTAGTATGTTTCTATAATTCACTCCAAATATATTGTTTTACAACTCTGTGTATTTCGACTTTTCGTTTCACACTGCTAACAATACGGTCATCAAGTCGTACAAAGTAACATGGGACGATTTATCTTTGAAGTTCGATTTTATTGGGAGGCAACCTCAATAAAACAGTGAACCTGATGGAAAGAATATCAGAAACGCTGCCCAGGAAACTTTTGGGTTATAATTTATAGTTGCACCAAAATTAACATTTTCGGAACTATTTTCAGATCTAATCCGCTATTTTACACTTTGAAATTACAATAACATTTATCAACACAAGTCGCAAGATATTTTTTGCCCGACTTTTCTAAATCGGAGTTAGTGGGTGCCATCTCTTTATTTGTACCTGCTTTATAGACAGAGACCTAATACTATGGTGTGTATGCTTAAAAAGTATTTTACTGGCCCATAGAAACACTAATCAGAGAGTGACGATTATGTATGCTAGTTCGTTGTCGCCGGATAAATTAGTGGAGCAAGTGTGAGAATTACGAAACCAGCTCCAGGTAATTTATATGACATTTTAAAACAATAACTCGTAAGTCACCTCACATTTGTATTAGTAAGTTGTAGAAAATTTATCAGCTAAGGTTCAGCTAGACAACAATACTCTATCACAAGCTGAAAACCGTGTAATTAGTGGTCTGGAAAATTCTCAAGTAGATAGTTATTTATTTTACCTACTGCCTTAGACGTTTGTTGAAGAATATTCACCAGACCCTAGCTGTTGATGACAAGAACGTGGATATAGACAAGTCATCAATCGTTGATTTGCGTCAGTAGTTCTGTCCGGTGATAACAGTCATCTGTGGTTGCCGACCTGGATGTTGAAAAGATGTTTCTTCATTTAGTTGCAAGGTGAAAAACAACATCAGATTGGATTGCCAGACTTCGCTGCAACAGGAAGCTGGTGATCGATTGGAACTAAGTGAGTTAAGGTGAGGTCTTTCAAGAGACCGACACCTAGTTAAATGTTGAGTGTGTTCTCTCAAACGTAAGTAAATGGTCTGTACACAGAGTGTATTCATTTTCTGTACAAGAGTGGTAATCTAGTCTGATTATGGTGTTTACAATGATACTAACAGTGATTTCGTGCGCGATGTACTTATATATTCGTTGAACGTTGTGTAGAAAACGCCTGACCCATAGCTGATAAAATAAATCAGTCAATTCGCAGACAAGAAGTGTATATTTTCTATGAATTCATTTAAATGTTCAACGGTATGTAAATTAAGGCTTTTATAAGCCTCAGAAATGAAAATGTAGAGATTTCGAGAAAAAAAGAATGTATCGTATAAGTCAGCTGACTATCAATCCAAAACTAGTTAATGTAAACTTAAACTAACTTCATCAGGCTGATTACATTTCACTTCAATAGCATTCATAGTTTCATTGATGTTTGATGTTGTTGATTGAACTTGCTTAGATAACTCGCCGTCATTATTTGGCGGTTGGTTAGAATCAGCCATTTTGGACGCTAATGCCTGAGCTGTTTCCTCTTCTAAACGACGAATTTCCTCTATTGTAAGACCATACCATTCATTTTGCCACGCCCATACTTGTCGATGTGCTCTTAGCATAGTTTTTCGAAGTGCTAAAATAAAGGGATAAAATTTCAAGTAATTGTGTGTTTTAGAAGAAGACAAAGCATTCTGTAGTATTCATTATAATCCTATTGTAAGAAAGTCAAATATATAAATATTATACACTGATCATCGAATACTAATCAATAATACGTTTGTCTAGCCCTTAATTCTCAGCGAATTCCAGTAAAAGTGAATAACAATCAAAGTGACTCGACTTCACGTGCAATATTCTGATGTTAGACGGTTGGAAACCACGAGCAGTAAACCTTCGATCAAGGTTTTGTGATAGGTGGCACAAATTAGTAAAGCGTATCTGCAATATACTGGGAACTAACACTTGGCATGAGATTTGAGCTCGCGTTATCAAGTGTTATAGACAAAGATTTTAATAATGCTGAGTCATTAGCGTCCTGACCAAGATATTTGCAACCAATCCGCCAATGAACAGTTACTGTCGTATCTATGTAGTCTTTAGCACTGACCGACTTCTAACGATCATATTAAAAACCAGATGATAAATAAGCAGTACATACTAATTGGGACGATGGTGCATGTTCTTTCCAGGCAAAATATCTTAAAATATTTTAGTACGATGACAATGAGTAAATTATTTAGGCTAAACTGAAACACCAGTTCAATACGACTGTAATGAATGTGAAGTCTACACCTCTCAATTCGGTGGCAAATGGAGAAATATTCAATAAGATTCGGAAAATTACAACAGTTTAAAAAATTATTATTACAGTTCGCTTTATTAAATGTTTAGGAATAATTATCCTTTTGATAGCAACTAATAACTGATAAAGTTTCAAAAGACAGAGTTCATACTTTGAAAACCACCTTTCAAAGAGGATTTTATAATTGTTTTTGAAGACAAACAAATTTGCCATAAAAACTGTCTTACTGTTGAGAACAGATTTCTGAAGTTACAATCAGACAAACTAAACAGTAAGTTTGAAATGATTGTTTGGTATTTTACTCTATGAAATTTGTAGAAATTGGTTTGGCCACATCCCAATCGACCTTTATAACATGGTAGAACTTCGAAAAACGATATTTCAGATGAATTAATAGGGTGAAACGTTATACAGGTGTAGTAACATGCTTAGAAGTGACAACATTAGAAAGTTACATACACTCGAAAGAGCGAGTTCATTTTGACTGCCACACAATACAAGTTATGGAAGTGATTAACTTCCTATTTGGTAAGCTTCAAAGAAATAATAAGATAGTTAATTTCCTTTTATTACAATATAGTTGTGAAATGTATTTGTTCGATCTCAGTTCTTAAAACGTTAGCATTATATCTTTAATAGGAACTAATAAGAGAATAGTTTTTATTTCTGAAAATTAGCAAAATTGTTTGTAAGACAGCAGATCAATTAATAGAACTCATCGCTTCATATTGATAGTTTTAGTGACAGAAACATACTAACAACCCAGATGATGTCAGCACAAGTTTTGCAAAGTTGATATACATATAAAACGAACCATACTTTAAGCACATATAGTACCACTTTAAAACAAACCCAAACAAATTATTAGAAATTCTAAAACAGTGAAAAATACTCGAAATACTTCTCCAGACCAAGTAGTATACGATAATCTAACAATAAAAGGACTTCGTTTCCAACCAACAGATTGAAGGTTTCAACCACACTTCAGTTGAAGAGGTCTAATAGTATCACTATTTCTAAAACAAAAATACTGTGGCTCAAATTCGAGTATACAAACTTTTATTTGGAAAATGAATAAGAGAAGAAATAATACCGACTTGCATTGGATCTGTTTTTTATCCACGAATCATATTGGCCAAAGTTATTCTGGATTATTTTACAAATAATAATGATTACTGAGATTCACATATATTTGTTAAATAGTGTATAAATAATTATCAAATTGAGTAGACAACATGAAGCATAAATCACTTAACCTTTAAACGTAAAGGTGTTACATACCAGTGTCGTGGATAAACTGTTCCACTCGTGTTTGTGTACCCCAATAACGAAACTCTACTCGACAAAGTTTATATGCACACATAATACGTTTATGCAGTGGCTTCAGATTTTCAACAATAGCTGGTGAATTATCATGAGTTCGAGTTGGTGGTTTTTCATAAGTTTCATGAGTCGCTTGTTGAGCATGAATAAATTCCTCACGCCAATTAGGCGACAATGGACCACGACCAGTTGCTTCTGATACATAAATACTAGGATCTTCTTCTGGTCTATAATCACTTCCAGTAATCGGATCTTTTACGATGTCAATAAAATCTGCATAAAAAATTTGGAAACAAATGGACGAATGTATTTAACGATAAGAAAAGGAAATGAAAAAGTATACGTTAACAATAATGAGGCGTTTACAGAAACGATTTTAAAGAATGACCCAAAATCTATGGTGAAAAGAATTACATTAGTTTGTACTTTTTATAAGTAACGGTAACACTTGAAAATCAATCCATCGATAGCCAAAGAATTTACTATTACTTAGAACAAAGAAGTAATAGGTGCAAATAAAGATTGAATGGATTTTTTTGTTTTTACAGCGATGAAAAATTCATCTATACCCATATATGTACACAATTTTAGCTTATCTAGATCTTTGAATTACCTGTTTTCCAACCATCGCAACGATTTATTTTGCTTTCAATGTCTTTTAACTGATTAATTATGCTTATTTACTACAATTTATCTTATGAGCTTTTAAGAAAACACTTTTACCGAGATACCAAATGATAAAACTCAAACAGAGACATCATAGTAGTCGATGCAATTCTCTTCTTATCTAACCTTTGGGAAAATGAGGTACGAATATGTCATTATTCATGAACTCAAATGGAAATATAAAGGGAATACCCTACCATAAACTACCTAGTAAGTAATGAAGAACAGTCCCAATAGCAGAACTAGTAAAAACTCCTTACAGTTGCAAATGATGTTGTGGATGAAAGCACAAATAATCTTTAGTCAGTCAGTCAGTTCTGAGTGCTGTTAGAGGTATGAGAGCAGTTCTCACTTCCCGGTCGCCCACACCTTGGAAGGGTTCTTCTGGAGGTGTCTGAAAAGGAAATTGGATTAGAGGTGGTCTTAGTGACCTGAGAGCGTGACCGCAGTGCCCAAAGGACAACTGCTTGAGGTCAGTCACACACGACCTTTTCGTGGGTAATTTTTGTGTTAGCTCCGTACTTGTTGAGACCTTAACACCGGAGACGGATATCAGTGGGATAAGACGAGGTGTGCGTTTTTAGGGTCGACCTTTTCTAACCCAACCCCTCCATGTGGGAAGGCAGCATCGCTGTCATGCTGGTTGTCTGAAGGAAACACCTTACTGCTGTCACACCTCTGTACAGTCAGCAGTACGACTTCGCCTTCGGACCTTGGGTTTGTTGCTTTTAGTCTTACCGCTCTTTAACCGACCTGTCTGACATGGTAGGACCTTGAGGAACGGTTGTTCCAGCCAGTATAGCTCGGTTGCTTCATCACGATAGGCAAGCCCGACCACCACGTCAAGGTAGCAACAACGGTCGGGAAATCTTTAGCCATACAATCATAATCAAAACCGTAACAATAACAACAACACAAGACAATTAATCAGGTCTGTGGTCTCACTAGAGACCACATTTTAACTTTTCGAATCGTATCTTCTATGCTTAACCTTTATGCTACCACTAATACTACTATTATATCTACTACTACGGGATTTGCGTTGACAATTTCATCTTGGTGTATTAATGAAGTGTGACAACTTGAACCGATGTACACGTGCCAGATTCTATGTTATGTCTGACTATCTGATATACCAAAATTTGACGGCCTAAATTATAAGTAGTGTTAAATGAAATTAATAATTATGTTAGGACAAAACTAAACATGGTGTTATCCTTAGATTATGCATTATTTAATTTATAATGTTATTTTTAAATATCATATTTATTTTGCTTTGATTCGGTCAGTTGACTCGTCTTTCTCTCATGTCACTGGATAAATGTAATCATCTATGTTGACATTCAGTCACACGAACCACTGTTTTAATCCTCTTTATCAGATACACGATAATTTGAACAAATTTAAACTAGAAATGAATTTAACATAATTGATACAATTAAACCAAAAAACCTGGACATCCGTTATTCGGTAAAAAAAAAGCTTTACCTTCCATTTCATGAGTAAAATATGTAGACCGATAAAGATAGTATCCGATATGCGACAACTCACCAATGATACGTGCCTTTCTTTCATCTGGTGAAAGGTTGAAAACATCATCTTGTTCCCCAGCATCGTCGAAAAAATATGTTTCCACATCAAGTACCAACTTTTCAACAAAGGGAACTTTATAAATTGTTCTGGTGTATGGATACGCGTTCCATGCCTCTTCTTCAACACGTAGAGCCGATGATGGTAGTATATTACGAAGCCAAGCTACAGTTTAAATTAGAAAACAACAGTTAAACTACATTATATTCATATGGGACCTTTAATCAATGTTTGTTCCACAAATTTTCTAACCGGAACAGATAACTCTAATAGTAAGTATTCCTTGAGTACTATCCAGGATATCTGTGCCGACTGACATGACTCATACCAGCAGTCAATGACCTAATACACTGAATTCACAATGGGCTCTTAGTCCCCAACTTTTTTCTAATCTATTTACATATCAGCCAGGAACACATATCAACGCAGGTGGTGATTAGTTATGAGTAAAACACATTCAAACCAACTCGATGGAGGCTTATACCATTATATATATCGATGCATATTATGTTTTTAAAACTACTCATGAATATATAAATGTATATCGGTTCCTACATACTAAGTGACAATCAGATTTCTGATATAGCTTGTATACAACGTAAATAATAAGTAAAATACATTAGGTTAGTGTTTAATAAGTGACCTGTGAAAAACGCCAACAATTTCGGTCCAAAGGGTTCAGAAACATAAGACTTACTTGGTAAATGGCTACCAACATGATAAATTTTAAATGTGTATTGGCCTTTTCCTCCAGGACCATTTTCATAAGGTTCGTTTTTCAATATTTCTACACCACTTCCACGACCTGTACTTTCTTCACGAGACTTTTTCTAGGTTAAATGTAAAGATTTACAAATAACTCATTTGTTAAACCAAAGATATTTCACTTTTATTATCGTGGAAGAAATATACATCTTACCGCTCATTAAAGCAATGGAAATAAATACCTTTAGAAACATGTGCTCCATTGATGTATTAAAAAAAGTTATGATCAAATAGTCAATGTGAGAGAAACTATACAGCAAATCTGGCACTGAATTCATAATCTGCGTTTGTTGAAATTTAAATGATGGAAAGTTCTTTTGCTTAAGTGGTTAGCATTTATGGCATCAATATTATTTTGTGGCAGGATTACATATATTGACCTCTCTTCCATGAAATAAATTGGCCTCAGGAAAAAGTATCCTTGAAAACTACAAGTGTGATCTGCTTTAAAGAGGGTTTCCAGTTCTTAGTTCCCGAAACTGTTGACTCAATCAATTATACATACTCTCAGAATTTAGTTTCATATTGTGAATAAGTAGTGTATGTCAGCCTCCGCAAAAACCCATCTGCTTTCTTCTTATTTGTATAATATTCTTTTGATAATTGATATATTGAATTCACTTTTATCGATACCTTTCTTCATAACTGAAAAAAGTATCTTGAGTGGTTTTAGCAACAAAATACTAAATTTTCTATCTCAACTGCAAATTAGGCCCTCCTATATTAAAAGCTTATGCCAAACTGAAAACCAAATCCCAATAGTTGAAACGTTGGTAAGCGGTGGTTAAAGGGCCAGAGGACTTGGCCTTAAAGCAATCGATAGAAAGTTCGATCCACACCCGATCTGGCATCAATAGACCTTACTCAATGAGTTACATGATTCAATGAACTAAACATACACTTTGGCACCTTCCTTTTGGCAAGTATATGAGTGAAACCATTCATCTTTAGGTGAACAATTAAAGGCTTTAAAAGATATTTTCATGTTGTGAAACCTGAACAACTCAACCATCTTTAATAACGGTGCCACAGTACATAACATAAAAGTATGTGCATTACTCCATACAAGCGATTATAAGCCATTTTATAAATAAGGATAGAGAAAATGCTATCTGTACTGGCGGTTTCCAAAACTTTTAAGAAACAGAATGTAAATAAAATCCATTACAAATGGTGTATTGGAATAAGTTCGTGATCAGTATTCAATAGACATAGGTTGTGAAAAAAATAGCATTAAATTTCATTAAATACAAACAAAAGATAGAAAATTACAAAAACAGGCAAGTTAGTATGATTTAATCAACCTGTACTATTTTTTACAAAATTCTAAGCGACTTAATGATGTCCATAATTACACCGTATCACTTAATTTGTGATGTGATGTAACAGTACTAATTAGAAGAATATGCGTATATCTGTAATATTCCTAAAGTGATAGGATGTGAAGCCCAACAGCCACAAGAAAAAAAAAAACATTAGAAACAGATATAACCGAAAACGTTTACCTGAATCATATACAACTGAGCTATCCGATATTCGGCAACTGTTAAGGGCATGCATATGCGATACTCTTTGAGAAGCATAGTTGAAAGCTAAATAACGAAAATATTCAGATTCCTAAAAAAGGCACATTATTAGCGCATTTAGTGCAGCAAACATAAATGAATATTCGATATCTTATTAATATATTGTAATATTTATCAGTCACCTAGTTTTCGGGTAAAATCTTGTAGAATATTCATTATGACCATCTAAATTGTGATAGACAGAGAACATGGACCAATTATTATGAAAATAATACAGTACAACTCTTGAGTGTGAACTGAGTATATGTCACACTATTTTATATTAAAATAATATTTATATGACGATACTACATTAGACTGAAGGATTCAGAACTATGATTTTATAATTTACACTTAAATATCTGTATGTCCAAGAACTAAACACGTTTAAAATCCTGGAAGTGGAATTCTCCCAAGTAGATGTTACAAAATAATTAGTGGGAGTTCGGTAACTGATCAATTTAAAACTTCAAGCAAACCAGAGAATCAACAAGGAACATAGTATTCAGGATGGCATAAAGAATATAATCAGATAGCTTTAAGTGATAAAAACTCACCAAAAGGGTGGAGATTTTTAGTTATCCTAAGCAGCGACGGGAGACATTCAATATACGCATCATAATGCATTAGAATAAATCATTAACTTATCTAATCACAGTAAAATTGAACCAACAACTATAGACTGGTTAGATTATGGTTGCAGATGATAACTCGACACATTTTTCTTGCATATACTCAATCAACTAATCCTATGGTCTTAATTAAAAACGATAGTTCACTTAAATCAAACTTTGAACGAGTCCAGATCTCAAACAAGCAGAAGCAGAACGCCATCAAGTGCGTACGCTGCTGGAACACTGAAAAAAATTTCTGATTTCTAAGCCTTCATAGTGAGCACAGAAACACAAATTGTAAAGAGAGAGCATGTAGGTGTCAACCTAACATCATCCCAACTGCTATTACTCAGATAAACCAGAACCGCTTCAAAATGTGTGCCCATTTATAACCTAGCATATGACTGATTGAGATATATCGCTATTGTAATAGCAGCTGATAAATAGTGACCTAAGCAATCTGTAAAGTCATCACACTTGGATGATATTAAAACAGTGAATTAAAAGTGAGATCAAGACAAGCTTTGCATAGGGACAGAAAGCCGTAGAGTAAGTTAGAAAGTACGAATTTACCTACCACTTAAATCTCCAAATAATGTGTAGTGACTTTACAACTCTGCTTACACTGGCATTAGATGTGTTTGAAAAATGTTCCTGATGTTGAATAGCCTAAAAGATTATATTTCTGCATCCTTTTTGACTAACGGTATACGTTAAGAAAAAACAAATACATAAAACATCGCCCAATAACTTTGGCAACTAAATGTTGTTTGCATTATTGGTATATCAATATCCCAAGCAACCGTTACGCAATATGACCTTAACTGATTACTGTAGTCATAAAGTATATTGAGATATGGTGTGGCTGAAAATACATGCATTTTTTCTGAGGTGAACTTTTTACAGGTATTTACACATTTCAAACAAGCCTTGTGTATTTGTACCGAATTCTTTAGGGACTGAGTTATACAATGGTGCGAGTTATCCACTCTTCCTCTAGACCTTGAACTTTGAAGTTGTCTGATAGATTTCAAGAATTAATTTTCCCCTGAATTATTTTCTCTATGCCTAGTTCATATACCCAAATTCCCTGGTACAGTCGAGGGTGGGAAGAGTCCGCTCTCCCTCGTGAAATGCTTTCATATGGTCACAAGTATATAGCCACTGCCAAGGAAGTCCTACTCACTGCCTTCTGGAGAAGCGGGTGTTGTTTACAAAACTGAAGGGACGATAAGCGAATGTCCAACGCTTAAACAAATTTGGTGGGTATGGAGAACCCTCCTGGCGCAGTTGGAAAAGCCAGATTCCAAACCTATGGTGCATATTGGTTCCAGAACCCTGAGGGAACATATAACGTACGGACCTACTTTTGGCCAATTGGTACCATAGGACCGCATCTCCCTACAGTGATCAACTGTCTTGTAAGTTAGACCCCTAAGTCAACGGCTCGGAAAGTGGCCCCCTAAGAAAACTACCTGTTTTAGTTTGAGTAACCTGACACATTTATTTTGGCACCCTTTTATATAGGTTCAAGAAAGTGACCAAGCCCCTTAGTATCAATGTGTTTAACTAAATAAATAATAAAAAACTACTGCTGCTAATACTGTTACCACTTTGACTACTTAGACATTTCTTGATGTGTTTTCTCCGCTGTATTGATTTGGTATGACAACTTGAACCAATGAACATTTCCGAGGTTCTTAATTGCTTTTGAATGATCAAAGAAGTTCCACAGACAAATAGTTAGGAATCTTTATACGCTATTGATCATTCCCAAAATCTAACGCTGAGGAAATTTTATCACCAGAAGAACCTTGACTAATACTTACTTCAAAAATCTATTGAAACAAAGTGTTATGTGTAGAGTTATGAGCTTAACTTGATGACTTGAAGGTTTGGAATATTACATACGATAAAGTAAAGATTTGATGCATTAGATGTCAGATGTTAGACGGAAATTATGTTCGTAATATGCATATAGAGACAATAGAGTAGATCTACTAGATGCGATAACTAGAAATTTTCGAAACTCTGCAATTGAGTATTTCGATCTTAATTAGTCTGCAATGAGTGACACTAAGTATGGAATGTGCTTTGTACATTATGAATGCAAAAGACTTTTACAAGACAGATAAAAGCCTATATCTACACTCACTCCATGTGATGAGCCTTCAGAAGTAACCGAAAAGTTTTTGCATCTCGGTAGTTGTGTGAACATTTGTGGTGGCGTGACAGATAGAATCAATTTACGCATGGTGAAAGTCGGAGCAGTTTATGAAAATCTGGGCCAACTTTGTGGACGTCACTGGTATTAGTCCGGTTGAAAAAAGTTGGGATTACAATGGGCCTGTGAAAGTTCTGCTTCATGTTTATAAAACCTGGCCCTTTTCAAGTTGAAGAGATTCGGTGAATACCTATATTTGATCATCGTCGTCCCCGAAAGACTGACGACATTCAGTGACAACACTATGTTGGTAATGTTGAGATTCGGTAGTGTTTGGGCACACATGATAAATCACTTGATGTCGCTATAATGGAACAACGGCTTCTGTGGCTTGAACATGTGCTACAAATGTCGGCCCATCATAACTCCATGTCTGAGATACTAAAATTATTGCAACTCGGCGGTTTGAAATGTTATCAGACATGGCTCAAAATAGGAGCAAATCAAGATCGGTGTGTATTGTTTTTGTACACCCTTGATAAAAATTAATGGAACTCTTTCAGCATGGATAAAACACCGTTGTTCTGTTAACTTAAATGTAACCTCAATGATACACTACTCTTGTTCGCCTATATACTCCCCCTCGTTTTTGGACAATGTTATTCAGACATATTATGTAAAACAACTCAATTTTGATGCCGAATCGCACCAGATTTTGTGTTTATTAAGAATAAGCAAATCGAAGGGACAGAATGAAACTATCAAATACTGACTAGTTGTGAGCATATAAACACTGACATTACCAAATAGGCTACGGCTGTGTCCAAAGCACATAATTGTTACAATAAACTAACCCTACTGTTTAAATGTCAATAAGTTTCGACAAGATTCTGATGAACCACCCAACAGATTTCGACTCAACCGTAAACCATCGAAACTGTCGTGTTATCATGATGCTGATCTTCAAGTTTTGTAAAGTTCCAGACAGATAAACTTTGTATTTGTCCGGGTTATCCGTATCACATTTCGGATACTTAATACTAAGGTATCAAGAAACTGAGAATGTAAATGTTTACTCCAAAGTCCCCCTATCTTGTCACTCTAAACCTCCCACCTTTGCGAATCTACATCTTCGAGGTTTTACAAAACCAGAGAAGGTTCTGCACTAAAAGTGAACTATAATTGTACTATAAGTGAAAAATATAGCTGCCAATAACAAACTTCTGTTTTGAAATAACGAATGACATACAAGAACTATGCATAAGAATTTAACAATAGTTACAAGTCACCGTATATAACTTTTAATTTTGTTATTTCACATAAAAGCCATATTGAAAAGACAACAAACAAATAATGATAAGCTGGAAACCCACTCTAGCAAATCCAGGAACGAAAACTGTAAGAAAACGTTTTGAATGGGCGTCACTTCGTGATTTTGTAAAACAAGAACGACTTTTTTCACTTTCCGGGTTCTTGATTCTAAAAAATATGTTTGCCCGTAAACTAATAAGCTCCAGATGATCCTTGCTAGTAGTGAGACGATTGGTACCAAAAGACACATCCCACAGTCTAGATTATATATATATTTACTGTCCGAAAAAAACAAACGTGTATTGTTCTAAAATATGAGTTATTGTGCTCTCTCTAACAGCAGAGTCTCGGGAGTGGCTGGCTCATCATTAACAGATGAGTCCTAAAAATGAGCCTTATTGGGTCATTCCGGAGCGGTAAGTAAATCCTCAGGATAAATAGTTCTGTAAGTCTTCAACATTGACGCCAATCTCGTTAATTTTACCGAAAACATCTTAGATAAAGGCTCTCGGTCACACGTAAGCACCAGATCACGAGTGGGTTCACCATACTACCCAGCTCTTGGAACTACTAGCCAGTTTCGATCAAACACATCTCAACATATCGCCAACCTTCCAAATACATCTTCGACTTCTCCGCTGACCTCTGATTTGTCCTTCTTGGTATCCTTTGATAATAAAAGTATTACGAGTAAAGCTGTTTTCAAACTCTGAATATCTGTGGCATCTTTGGTGGTGGGTCTAACGTGATAAACTGTGTATCTATTCCTTATTGTAAAATTAAATGTTTTTTTACTTCGACATACCGTGGTATAAATTTTGTTTTCTTGGATCGCTTTTCGCCCACTTATATATTTTGTCCTCATCATGACAGAACGGACAACCTAACTGTTAAAGATTTAGACTCTTTTGCCTCTCTCCTTCCAACCTAAGCCATTCTAGTCCGATAAAATCGAAGGCTCGTTCTGCTAATAGCAAAGTGACTTTTAGGGACACAGCGTGGTAGATTCATGTCGGTAATTTCTCAGGGTACTGATGGTACTATTGCGCGATTTTGACAGATATGTCACACTTATTGCGTCCATTAGTGATTATTTTGAACCTCACGACACCTTAAGAATGGTTATACAAACACGCAGTGACTAACCGAGATTCACCAACTTTTCCACAATATCGAACGGCAACATGGTTGAGCAGCAGAAGTGTTGCCATGCATACGAAAGGTTAGCAGTCGACGGGATTTCGACGATAGCCTCCTTGGAAAACTGTTTTTATTTAAGCTTCCCCAAAATATTCAAGCAGTCCTTGTCTCGGTTCAAAATAACTCCGTCGATGGACTGCATGAATCTGCCGAACGGATACTGAAGATTATCAGAACCCACTGGGATGAATTTTGTTCTGCCAGGGAAAAAACTCAAACAACACAAAATGGTAATACAAATCTGTCATACTCTCTCTCGTTATCTTAATATACATAATTATCTCCAACGTTCAAAAACTCCATTAAGAACAATGTTATCAAAAGGATTTGTCTCTTGACACCAAGAGACAGATTGCTCCAATCGGTAGTTGTATCGTGACACTCATTGCAATTCTTTTAGAAATTGTGGAGAACCTTTCATCATTTGAACGCATTCCACCAAGTTTCATGTCATAACTCATTGATTCCTATTACTGTATTCTCTAATCTGAGGGATCTAACCACATTTCACTCTAGCAACAGCAGCTAGTATGGGTTTTATTTATTAACATGTCATACCTATGTCTGCTCCACTACAAAATGTTAAGCATTGTCTAGGTTTTATGTACAAGTGCCTTGTTGCTCCTTTGTTTATCTTTTGTTCAACATCACGACCTCGGTGCACAGCTATGGAGCTTACAAAACCTGGAACAAATTTAACACACACGCTTTCCAAGATCACAGCTCATGCCGAGTGCCCATTGAAGGCACATTATAACAACCACAAACTTTTTCAACAGTTGCATTGCATAAATACTCAGCACAGCCAGAATTCTAACACGATCATGCCGAGTTTGAATTTGGTGTTCAACGTGGACGTGATGCTATTTTGGGAAATATTTTTGAAAGGCTGTACTCAGTGTAATACTAAAACACAAAACTAGCAATTAACGCTCTAAGACATCTACATCAATGTACTGTCTTTTATTTCTGTTTATTTCAATTATTTGACATTCCTGATTGGTAAGCATTTCATATGCAAACCAATGTTGTAAATTATAGATAATGTCTGTAGGAATGACGTGTATCTGGCCTGGCAGAAATATGCTTTGATATTATTATATTACATTATGTGTCACATAGTAAAGTTTCTTACCTGTTACCATCTGTTTAACACGTAATTTCAGGGTTGTCGAAGATAACTCATGTTGGTGGTCAATGACTTCTTTTCGAAGTTGGGTCAGTTTAGGAAAGTCGATTGCGTGGAGATTATTTAAGAATGGCATACGAGACGAGGCGTCTGCAACTACATTATTTGCCCCAGAAATATGTTGTACATCTGAATTAAACGGAGAAATGTCATCCAGCTGTTGTGACTAATGAGGGAAGCATTTGCCTTGAGACCAGATTAAAGAAAGGATGAGAGGTTTGTGGTCGGCAGTGTGAATGCTCTGCCTTCCACAGAGTGTTGGAATCGCCGCAGAACATAACACAAAGCTATGTGTTTCCTGCCGAAGTTGCCACACCTCAATTCAGTATCTTCCAGCTGTCTCGGGAAAGATATCAAGGGTTATCATGTGTTGTTAACCGATTGTTGTGAGACTCCTCCGATCACCAAGTCAGATGAGTCTGCTGCGATACTAGTAAGTGCTTTGGCATCCTGATGTGTGAGCATTGTTGCTTTTGTGATAAGTTCCATAATTGTGGAGAATGGCTTTTTTGCGATGTTGTACAAATTGATAGGTTTCGCGTTCCCACGAATTTAGTCTGTTAAGGGTCTTAATTCGGTGTGAACCATCTATGTAAACCTACCAGGTTGTTGACAGTATGTAGCTCCTTGGCTGTAGGTGGTTATGGCTAATCTAGAATGCACACCACTTTGCTTTCCGGAGGTCGGAGCATCATCAATGTTTGTGATATTCTATGCCGTTGGTGCCAATTTGACATTTCTGAATATCTACAATAATATCGCGTTTTTGCAGCTGTTCTAAAACGATGTCGAGATGATGACTAAATTTCCTCTATGAATTGGCGATTAGGTAGCTATCTACATATGAAACCTCTAAAAAGACTTCATCGATCAGTCTGCAACATTTCTTAAACCGAATGGCATAAGTGAAAATTCGTTTAGTTCAAAGAGGATGGTGAATGTGCTTTTATGAATATTGTCATCTGCCATGAGAATTCTGTCGTACTTTTAAATCAAGTCGATTTTCAATAAACAGTTGTATCTTTCAAGGTAGTTGTGAAATTTCGAATGTGAAGTAAAGGCTAACGGTCGAGAATAGTTTACTCATCCAGTCCACGGTAGTCACCAGTTGGACGTCAACCATTTTTGTCCTTTTTAGTGACAATATGAATGGGCGATGTCCATGGGATGTTTGATAGTCGAACAATTCTTAAATCACTCATGAAGTTGAATTCGTTTTCGACCAACCTCAGCCTTTCGGAAATTAGTCAAAACCCTTTCGAGAATACATGTGATCGCGCAGTCGAGATGTGATGTGCAACGTTGTTGGTTGCACATGGCAATTTTGGTCGTGTTTGGTATAGCTTGGGGCACTTACCGAGTATCCGTTTACAGTATGCCTCGACTTTGTGGTTAAAAATGTCTGGGGATAATCTAAAACTGGAAAAGGTCAATCAAACAAATAAATTAGTATTTTCGTCTATTTACCACCATCTGCGCGTGTCAGCAAGTAGATTAAGGTGTTGTAGCAGGTCCATACCAATGATTGGCATAGAAACGTCCACAGCAACCAAAATCCAGCGAATGAGTTTAAGTAAACTCACGTTAAGATACAGGTGCTGCTTACCAAATGTGATGATCGGTTTCTCGGTTACCGCCTGTAAGTTAGAGACTGCTTCATGCTGTCGGTCGTTAGAATTTGCCAGAAGAACGCTGACTTTGAGCCAGGGACGACACGGTAGCGATGCTTTGTCACCACACGAGTGATAAATAATAGACGGCTAAGTTCACCGGCTGCGATTGTCGTCAACACGCGCCGGCCGATAATTTTTTCGTGTCTGTCGGTTTGAACCTCGGGAAGTTGAAGGGTTTTCTGCAGTTTCTAGATACCAGCATCAATCAAATTTATCTGTCTCTCATAATGCAGAGACATCGTTTTCGTGACGAGTTTTTTCAAGGAGTTTTGGATTGTCTGCGGTCATGACGAATGTTAAGGTAACATTTCAGAGTATGATATAGGTTTGTGACATCGTTTCGTGTCGTTTGAGGCTTTTCTTTGACTGAATAGACCTCGACATTAGAGGTTCTGGTGAATTCAGTTGGCAGATGCGGCCAGCTCATCTTATGCGTTGTTTTCAAATAAGACAAGCATCGTCTGCACCTGTTGAGGAAGTTTAGACAGGAAAAGTCGTCTGAACGAGCCCTCAACAAAGGTCCGGTGAACAAGGAGGAGGACATGAAAAGTATCACAGGGTGAAAAATGAAAGCTAAAAATGATATATAATCTTCCAACAAGAGACAAACTCACAGTTTACGAATCGGTTTACCAGATCACATCGGGCTCACCACTAAAGACGTCTTAACTAGTAACTCCTTTATAATCGAAGTATGCCACCTCAATCAAATCATGAGTCAGGAGTGAAGGCTTTAGAAGATATATTTAGAACGCTATAGGTATGTTTAAGATGGCTAGTAGTTGAAAGGGATGCGTAGCACGACGTACCCACTAGTGATCTGATGCGGATGAATAACTAAGCGTCTTCAGCTAGGTGAGTTCATTAAAAGTAATGCAGTCAGCACCAAATGTTGGAAACCTACAGAACTATTGATTTGGGGGATTTATTTACCACTACAGTAGAATGGACTGTAGTCACAATTTTTATTCATTAAGAGTGATTAAATCCTGGAATTCGCTCCCGGATGAGCTGGCTCAAAAAAGTTCCCAAGAGTTCTCTATGAGGAAACTTGACATATTTTTAAGGACTATGGATAGTATCTCGCTATAGTTTACTAACGTTCTTTTCCTTTTATCGATAAGT